AGTTTGATGTTTGATTTGCAAACTTTGCTCAATTTTGCTTTTGTTTATTCAACATGCCCTGCTTGCGACAGAACGGGTTGCCGACTCTTTTGCTTCGAATACCTAAAACTTGTCCATTTCTCTCAGCTTATAATGCAAAACTACCGTCTATTCGTTGACGCACGGACTGAACATCACTGTGGAGCCCGCGCAGCAAAGTAAAACGTTTGCCCGGTACAAGTTGGCCATTGTACAAGTTGTGCTGTCGCAAATTCCAGTTGCGCCACGCGTGGTCCGCAACGTTTGAGCAGTCCGTGCAGTCAAAGTATCGCCAATATATCTGTAGCTAAAACTAATGACCCTCGCCTTGATTTCAGTGACACTGCTCATCCCTGAACAGTACGCATTTATGTTGCTCGCGTAATCTTTTGAATGCGGCCAATTCTTCTCGACTCCTAAATATTTGCAAAACTGAAGAGACGGTTTTTGATGGGAGATTTTGAAGTTCTCCTGGATCATTTGCTCACTATTTGCACAACCTCCACAGTGTCAATTCTACCACTGGCGCCATCCTTCCATTGATGATCTTTCTCTTCATTTTCATTTTCATCGAAGCTTTGCAATAAAACTTACAGGTCATATCTATCATTAAAATAGCCTAGTAACTCCGTACAGAATGAACTGTAAATATACTCAAAATGACAGGCATAGTCCGTACAAGAGTAGGTATTCAGCGACGTTAAAGTCAAACTTCTTCATTTTGGGCTCGTTCGCTAGCTTTGTAAAGTGTCACTTTGTCTAAAAAAATAAGAGAATTTGCTTGAACTGCAATACAATTCGTTTGGAATACTCCATCCTATTCCATTTCGGACTTATTAAGCCCTCGGCATACCTCAAGCGATTTCAATCGCGGCGCGATTTCGCAATACTTCAATAATTCATAACTCATCGTAAGGAATTTCTAGATGTACGGAAGATAGAGCATTAATTCATCTATAAAAGTTATACATGCTGTGCATTTGGGATCTGCCAGTATTGAATTTGAAGACATCTGGTAGAATGCCAGATCGCGTGGCGACTGAAATCCCGTGGTATCAGGGGCTTAGTTAAGCAGATTGGTCGCAATAGAATACAGCTTCTCAAATTGCAGCATTGGCATTTGCATACTCATGCCCGGCAAATCAAAACTGCCCTCCAACGCCAAGTTTAGAAGCTTAGGCGGATATTTGTGTGAAATTGTATGCAGACGTAGAGTCAAATCTGAACTTTATATTTGTACAAAATTAAAACTTGCCATTAGCTAGCTTCCTACGTTTGAAATTTGTCACGGGCTTGGCATTGAAGCTTTTGAAAAATGTCACTTTTAAAAACACAGCAGACTTCTTCTACAATTCTTCATGTTATGATTTATATCCTCAATCAACTTACAAGGTAATTACTTTGCTAAAATAAGCATAAACAATATTCGAAGAGAAAACACAATTATCAAATCTAACGCCATCTATCTACGAGCAGTACTGTTTTTCGTTTGGGCTCCACGTTACCGCGCTGGAGGTCGCGGTAACATGGAGCTCGACTAAAAAACATCCAATGCTAAATATTTGGGCCAAAAATTCAGCTCACGACAGGCTGGATTCCATGAGCAGAGCATGCGAGAAACCTGCTGAGAACTCATTGGCCCGTAGTAAACCTCGATCAGGGGAGATGATCTCCCCTGAACCCCTCATGTAAGGGTCCGTCAGGTAAAATGATAACCGCACACTCCCACATGCTTTAAGAATGCAACGTCACCTGACATGTGAGCAGGGCAAGTTCGGCAGGGAGGTCACCTCCCTGCCGAATTATGGGAGATGATCTGAGCAATGATATCCCGAAATAATGTGCTAACGAAGAGATTTGGAGAAAACTTCCGTGAGTTACTCCTTCTGAGTAACTTACGATAACTTAAGATATACGTCAGTTCAACATGTCAAACATACTGAATGAGGAGCCATAGTGCAGGTGACGATCTTTAACAAGCTCTAACAAGTATGGCCACATCTCCGCCATTAGTACTAATTACAAAGGTATGAATATTTGGCGAACGGGTTTTGACTTGTATATTTGCGTGCCACTGGCACAGTGGCACACTCAATCATATCAACGTGGATGGTTGGAATTTCGATCAATGGCTCAAATGAGACAGAGCCGACTCCGAGACTTAAATGAAGCTTTCCTCAGTTGGGATCGAATGAGACACCTTTACTATGGCCCATTGTTCATGTCTTATGAAGCCGGGTAAAGGCCAAGGCGTTTCTTGGAAATTGGCATTGGAGGCCGATGAGTGCGACTAGCGAGCGAAGGTTACCATCTCATCAAGGTGAACGGGGAACGGTTAAAGTGGTTAGTGCGTTAGAGGGCTGTCATACTTGTCTAGCTATCATCTATCGGCGTTGTGGGAACCATCACCTCTCGCAGACCAAAACCGCGCGACATTGGAGTTATAAGCTTTCTCTACAACAGTTCTAGTAATAAAAGAAATAGAGTTCATGTAGCTGCCTCGGAAACTCTAAAGAGTTGTTGTTATGTCTGAATTTGACCCTTGAATAAACTTTTGAACAAAAAAAAATGTTGTGTCCCATCCGTTTCAATCAACGGGTACGTTATGATGACGGCACGGTTTTTACATTTACTACTGGCCTGCATCTACAGAATAAGCTGATTAGCAGCCATAAAAAGAAAACTTGAAGGGAGCTGTAATCTCCCAAGGCGAGGTTTACAAAAGAAAGACTTTCGGTTTTTGGCGCATAGTTTTATTCCCGTTTGCGATATCAGTATATGCAGGTGCGCATTAGGTAACGAAAGGTTTACTGCTTTTGATGGCCTTAATTGCATTCAAAAATATGAAGAATGGACAAAGCTACAGCCTTTTAAAGTAAAACTTTACCAAACGGACATTATTTTTGCAACAACCAAATATACAGATGCCCAATATGAATAATACATGCCTGAGAAGGAAACTTGTAGGAATTTTGTGCAGGGAAACATGATTTTTTCTCGATTTTTCGAGCATTTAAGTCTTCTTAGATTTTGGCTTTGAACTTTATTCAGCACAAACTTTGAGCAAATTTTTGAGTGCTTTTATGTAGAGCTTGCTTTGCTCTGTCGAATGGTACCGCGAAATCCTCTCAAGAAACAAGAAGAACATGAGTTATTGCAGGAGAAAGTAAAAGCGGTAAAAAAATTATGGGACACCCTAATTTGAACTAATCTCGACTCTATATCTCATGATGGATATCAGTACTTTACAAGCTTTCCTCAACTTTTATAGTCATTTGCTCGCACGTCATGAGGCGCCATGAGATCGCTCTAATGCAATCTAATTTCGAGCAAACTTTTTACGTTCCTCGGCCCAGCATGCAGAGATTCAGAATGACCCCCCAAAATAGAGGTCCACGTCTTCTAAGCTCCACCTTATTTCTTGAAGATTTTCTCAGTCTTGGTTCCATTTGCTACGCTCAGCAAGGAGCCAATATGAAGATATCGTCGTCTCCCCGGTGTACGTTGGGCGGAGCATTTGCGGACATTTGAACACGTTGGTGACTTGTTAAACCTCTACTGCAAAGCATGGTTCTTTGTACTCTCTAAACTGCCACGCATAGATGCTGTTGTCATACGTGGCGGAGTTGGTAGCGAGAGATTACAAAGAACAAGGCTTTGCAGTAGAGGGTTAACAAGTTTACCAACGTGTCCAAATGTCCGCAAAAGCTCCGCTTAACGTACACCGGGGAGACGACGATAGCTTGTGCCAGCTGGATGTTTTGGGCAGGCAGGTTACTTCGTTCTCATAGTCAATCGCAAGCTGCGTTCGTTTTGCATCAGAAGTTAAAGAAAGATTCTGGCTCATCTTCCAAAACTTTCCTTTTGTTTTGAAGAGCTAGAAGAACATATTCTATATGAGCAGAAAACATATTGCAACCGACCACTTCGAGAGTCAAAAATTGCTTATCTAAAGTTGGAGATGAGGATAACCAATTTGCACAAACTTTTGAATGTTCACAACGTAGCGAAAGGGACAGAATGGAAACAGACTATTTGTCTTCGTCACTCTCTTTTGGCAGAATTCGATAACTAGCCTGGATATAAGTAGAGCATCTTCATTGACGACACCGTCAGTAAATTCAAGTGGGCGGTGTAGAGCAGCGGCGGTTCAAGATTTTGCACAAACGTACTTTTTCAAGGTTTCCAAAATATGTTGATTATCTACAGAACAAGTCACTTCGCACAATATTACCAGCTTCCATATGCCGCTGGTGACGTACTGGCTAATCTAATGAGACTCTCATAATCATTAAAAAAAGTCTAAATGTCAGAAAAATGGTGAGTTATGGAATGTATCATCTATGTAATTTACCTGCACTATTTCTCCAAGACTGTCTGTGGGTTTTAACAGATTAGGCTACTTCTACCCCACAAAGACAATAACAGAGTTGCAAGACCTATGACTCTGGCTTAGGGACGGAGATACTCCAGCCGTTTTATTCAAGCTCGCAATTGTACAAAGTAAAATATAGTTTGGTATAAGCATTTCAAGAAATCTGCTGTCAAGATTTTTGTTACGTTATGGACTCGCACTTTTATGCAATCTTGCGAGGAGGGCTTCTAGTATCATTTGAGAACACCATCCCTACCTCAACAGTGACTCGTGCAGCTGTCCAGTCTTCTTCTATTGACAAGTTGTGCTTTTCAAATCTATAACCATGCGTTATCCGTACTTGAAGCACTTTAAATATATTGTATATTTGCACAGTGATATTTACCATCGTTCACCATGTCTCTATATGATTCGTTGTTTTCGAACGGAGTTGCCGCTATTGCAGCCCAGCGTAGCTACAACTCCGCGTTATAGCCGACATGAATTGCATATTTGATAAACAGTTGTTATATTGCTCCGCCTTTAACGTTGCAAAGCGTTTATTGTGGCCACCTTTTGCTTGCTTTTGCGATGTTCTAAAAAAATTGATGTTATGCTATTCTTGACCAGTTTCAGAGAGTCTTTCAGAATTTACTCCAATTCTTCCATCGAGTTACTCATGAGCTCGTAAACAAAGTGGCAGTAAATCTCCGTTTTCATTCTTTTGCAAATTTTCCGAGGCTACGCAGGAGACATGCCGGGGTGAGTATGCATTCTCTTGTTTTACGCTTTTCTCCGGTGGCCCATTAATCAACCGCCGACATGGAGCAGCTGTAAAACAGCGGCGCTGCTTTCACAGTGATTGTAAATATAAGGATTTGAAATCTGTACCTAAACAACAATCAATTTGTAAAAAATTGCGGAAACCTATGTGTTCTGTTCTCGGATTTTGATGGTTTCTATACCACTACTCCAACTTTGTTTCGGAGCATATATTTTGGAGATTCACGGAAGTTGGTGTCTTTTTGGCTTGATTTTGAACGCTCGACAATCTACAGTCGAGTAGATTTTCCGCTTAATATAGTGTGGTTGCACAGAAGGTGAAATGCGGTGAAATTTGCGCGTGAAGAAGTAGCCACGCTACTACTACCGGCATTTTGCGCCCGCAGTTGGCCGGCGTCACAGTCGAAACTATTTGTTTACGCGCAAATTCTACCGCATTTCACCTACTGTGCAAGTACACTATATTGAGCGGGAAATCTACTCGACTGTATCATTTAGTGGATAGCGAACCAAACCATTGCTTGTTCTCTTGAGCCATAAACAGATCAAAATCGATGAGCTGTAACAAACTATCGCTGTTTTCTCGATAACTTGGAGTAGTGCTTTCTTTTATTCTACTTGTTAAAAGTGGGAATATTTTTCTTGCCTGAACGCAGTTCCAAAACAAATGTTATTTCCTTGATGAGTTTGTGTGGCCCCTATCCCGTCTCCTAATACTTCAAAGGGACTTCGGAATAATTGTGCTAAGTCATGGACTTCGTTTGCTTGAAAAGTGCTCGAAACCTGCCGTCCCCTGGGGTTGAGTGACTTTCATAGGACAAGCAATCATGTAAGAAAGGTGCGAAGTTTCGCACCGCATGACTAACAAGGAACGATACTCGGTCTCCTTGGCTTTTTGAAATGATATAACATTACACTAATCTTGGAATGCTGATTCTGAATCTGACTTCAATCCTTTTGCTAATCGTTTTTCTGAAAGAAATTATGGAGGGATTTCGCGCCAATTTAATCCAAGAAATGACCAGGAGTTGTATTTATCAATCTCCCGTACATTCGCTCATGCCTGTTCGGGAACCTACTGTGGAGAGCAACATGCCAGCACTGCGAGCGGGCACACATCAAAAACGCCTGCCAGCGTAAAGTTTGCATATCGCAAACACATGAGAACCCATCGTTTTTAACTGTTTTTTTCTTTTCTCACGGTCCTGGAGCACAATTTTTGCGTTTATATGCACACTAAAGTATGATAGAGGGATTAACGTCATTTTTCTTAGAGAGTGCTAGAAACGGCCATGTTCTAAATATCAGTAATTCGTTGAATATCTTTAATGTAGGACAATTCATAGCAGTAGGGTAAGTTAGAAATGCAGAAATGTTCCAAGAAGTCTTATTTTAAACTCTATGAGAATAGTACACATCAAATGGTATGAAATGGAAGGCCGGATTGAACCACATTGATTATCAGAAATTCTCATCACAATTATACTGTCTGGATCTCACCTAGGACCATGCCTGGGTTCAAGGGTCCGACCTGGCAAGTTTGGCCATGTCGGGCACTGCAGGCCCGATCTCGACAGATCGGGCTCTGCTGCCCGTTCAGGCCATGCTAACTAACTTCGCAGGCTCTCGCCTGTCCGGGCCGTGTATAGGAATGGAACGCCCGAAACAGCGAGCGGGAGATTGAGTCGCAGAACGGCAATGCTGCGGATATGCTGTGGTGTAGCGGTTAGTGCGATAGCCACACGAGTTGATGCAGGTGTAGGTTTCAATCCTTTCGTGTTCCTGGGCGTTGCACAAAATCAATTAAGCTTCTTCTTGAAAGTTAGGCATCCTCAGGGTAAATGCATACCCTTACTCTCAAAAAATGGGGGAAATTAAGACAGTGCAACACTTGTTCTTTATCGGTGCACTCATTGCGAGAACTCCTTTATTGCAATCACTTTGGCATAGATTTTCATCACAGTGTTTAACATGCATTTAGTTTCCATTCATTTTCACTTTTATAAACACCTTTTGGAATGAATATAGGAAACACCCATATAAAAGTTACTTCTAGTTGGATTTTCAAAGAGTAAGAGCATGCATTTACCTCGAGGATACCTAACTATTTAGAAAAAAAGCTCAGTTAAGGCAATACAAAACTGGAAAAACAAAAGCGAACTCATATCTACCATTAACTGGTGAGGCTATAGCACTAACCACTACACCACACCGTACCAGCATTGCCTGTTTCTACAGTATTTCACTTGAGCGGCCAAACTTAACGCGGAAATTCTTCATGACTTCTTTCAGAGAAACGATTAGCAGAAACGGAAGTTCGATTCAGCGTTCCAAGTCGAGTGTAAAAAATTCTTCAAAAGCGAAATCACGAGAATTACGAAGCTGAAAGAAATGATAAAGGAGGAATGCAAAACATCAAAATAAGTTCCTGAAAGAACGAAGATGCTTTTCGTAAACATTCCCGACTATGAAAAATCTAAAATCCAGCTGCATTAATTCTAGTCTTAGCTTACAAAGCTTCAAAAGCATGTACTAATAATAGATCTATGTTAGTTTCGATAAAAGCAGTTACCCATGTATCTTTTCACCAGATTCACTTCTTGCGACAATTATTCAAATTGCAATTTACGCTTTCTTGTTTGGGGCAATCTCGAAATTTATACTTGTTAAACTTTGCATTACTGGAAAATTCCGATTTGTTCGAGGAATTGCGCAAGTGTTTAGTGTTGGCCTTAACGTTTTGTGTATATGTTCATTGCTTCCGTCAAGGGTATTGAACGGAATATTACACATGGGCAGATGCATAAGTGAATTAATTAGAAATTTGCTTCGAAAGTGAAAAAAAAGAGACGGAGTAAGATTTTTTTTCCTTCTGCATCTTGTGCAACTAAATTATCTTGTACATTGTTACTGTGTTCGTAAAACATTTCCTGTGCGCAAAAGTCGGTGTCTGTTTCCTAAGCTTATAATCAAAAGTCAATTTGACCCGGGAGCAATCGTATGAAAAGTCTCTTTCTCTCCCCCCTCCCCTCCCCCTTCAGGCACAGTGGGATTCTGAAACTCTACGAGGATGCGAGCGGTGCGCAATAGGTGTGAGGTAGGTGCGAGAAATAGGTGCGAATCTCAGATCATATAAAAGACCCCTCCTTATCAAAGGGCTTAAATGTGTCAAGCACACAAAATTATATTCTCGTTACCGAATGCATTATTTAACGTTTTTTTGTCGATTATCTACACTACTTTTTTGCAATTCTTAAAATAAAAGAATCTAAGTTCTCTAACAGAGTAAACTATGCACTATGATAGCAAAAACGTGTTTTCGTCATTCAGAGCGCTTGGCAAAGTTCCCCGAAATTTGCAAGTAGTAGTGACGCGCTTTTGTGGTGAAATTTCGACATTCGCTGCTAATGTAATAAACGGCTTTATTGTTATCGACAAAACATTTGCGCTTCTTCTGGCAACACTCCCTTTATATTGTTGTTCTTGTGCTATACTTGAAAGAAGGTTTTCAACTTCCAATAAATCTAAGGCCAGATTACCGTTTGAATTTCGTAAGCGGAGGAAATCGGAAGTGGTCATTGAGGTATAATGATGTACTGGCCATACACACAGAACAGATTTTTATAGACTAGAAGAGAAAGCTACAGCCATACGCTTTACAATTCCAATACGGCAGTTAAGCGTTGATCACATAGTACTGACAGTGAGATGCTGTAAAGTTTCTGCATATTTTTGCCATATGAAATGAACTGGACTTCAAATAAAATACCGCTTAAAGTAGAGAGGCATTATGCTGCTCACCCAGAAGATCGTCTGGGCATAGGGTCACCTGGAAACGCTCTGATTTTTCGCACCCACCTCCCAAAACTTTAGAAAACCTCAGGCAGTCGGCGGGGGTAGGCGGGCAACGGAAGAATAGTTAACTGACTTTTTGCACCTCGTGGCAGAATTTTGAAGAAACTGATCACTAGCTTTTGCAAGGTCGCTCGTTAATTTTTGATTTCAACCTACAGTCTGTCCGCAAAAATTTAGAGCAAGAAAGGGCTCAACAAGCGATACCGGAAAAGCGCATCTTCAGTTTTTTGAAATTCGGACGGAGTGTAAAAAGCCAATAACGTGAATTCTCCGGTAACCGCCTATCACCGGAGAATTCCTTAGTGAAGAGTTGCTTTCTTGATGTCGCTTATAGATTTCTTTCTCGTTCTGATTTTTCACAATTGGATTGCTGCTTTTCTGTCAAATTAAATATTAATGAGCTGCACTGCACAAGCTCGTGGCCAACTTTTTGAAATTGCTAATGGAGTGCGAAAAACGAGCCATCCATTTTTCCAATGCGCCTACTGTCCCGAAAAGATTAAATAGATACCATCGATTGCGCACCCAAAACTGCCTTTCGATCGTTTCATGTTAGCTTCAAACAACGTACAAGATATTTCTAAAACAGATTCCTCAAATTTGCTAAGTTAGTTAGTTAGTTTTGGAAGAAGCAAAAGTCAGTAAGCTGACAAGGGAATAGTCAGAAGTCGAAGTGGCCAAACCATACAAGCTGCATACCATCAGATGCAGCATAAAACGCTGACTCTAAATCTGTCTTCCTTATCCGCAGAGCGCTTTTGTGGACGAAATTATGAGCCGTTGAAGGCTATTATTTTGCTAAGAAATTGTGCGTGTAAAGTGCAAATTTGGCCGTACAAAGCCATTCTCGGCTCAGTGTTGGACCAAAACGTGCAACTAGTTCACTTCATATGACCCGTACCAAAAGGTGAGCTGAAAGAGCAATAATGTGCCTAATTTCGCAATTTTTATATGCAGTTTTTACGCAAGCTGCTCATAACTTCGCCTACAAAGGCGCTCTGCAGATATGGAGGGCATATTTGAAATCAGCATTTTATGCTGCATCGAATGGTATGTAGCTTGTATGATAGGCCACTTCGATTTCTGACCATTCCCTTGTGAGTGCGCGAGCGTTGGTATACACGATTCACGACACGCAAAGACTGGCGCCATTGCGTCCGGTCGAGATAGTTTGTGCATGGCAGAGACAGCAGATGGTAAAAAAACGAAAGAGTGCTCAATCAGTGAGACGCCGATATGTCCGCAGTCTTTGCGTGCTACGAATCGCTTATACCTGCGAGAACCTCTTTAAGGCACAGACCATGTCGTCAATTCGTTGACGCACAATGGACATCACTGCGTAGCAAGCGCCGCGAGGTACAGTCGAATCATTTCATACGATCATATGTGTATTGCACACAACGTCCAACTCTGGCATCCACTCCAAATATGGGGGGGGGGGGGGGAGAAGAGACGGTCGAATGGCGCGTAGTGATCGATTGTCACCAATCAGAAAAACCAGGAAAAAAGCTCGAAATTGGTTTAGTACTTCCGGGATTCAACTAGTAATCCTCTGTTGCTATTTCTATGATATGATGACAAAATTTTAAAAGTTTTGAAACCTCGTTTGTAGAGTACAAATCCCTCCTGGCAATGACGCCTGTCGAAACGCGCGCCTTTCGACATACACCCAAATATGGGTGCATTACACACTTTGCCTTTCGCGAACATGCTCTCCAATCATTTTCAATCGATTGATACTCCGCCTTTCCCACGCTTATGGGGAAGTGACCACAGAGCATGCTCGCGAAAGAGGTGCATAGTCCAGGCGAGGCGGCGGCCGCACGAGAGCGGAGATGCTGGTGCACCCGACGCCATAAATGCACTGTATAAGATGAGCCCTGTACTTGCTATGGGCCGTGCGCAAACTCACTGTCAGAACAAGTTTGGTCGTGAAGTTGACTAGCTTATATTGTGACCTACCCTAAAATCTCACAGATAGAGCCTCCCATCGTATAAGTTCGTCTGCAGATTAGTCTTGACTTATCCGACAGTCTTTGGACTTACCTGAAAAGATCTTAGGGTTAATGGAGAATAGGACTTATCTGTAGGGGCAGACTGTTAGTCAAAAAAGCGGACTTACAAACTCTAGGGTAATCATAATTTTTACTCAAAAGCTGGAGGGGACAAATTTAGACTTATTTGGGCTGTGCGCAATGCGGGTTCGAGTCTCCTAGTCTTAAAACAGATAGTAGGTTATCTAATATCGACAAAAACACCGACGTAAGTGGTTCCGAAGAAATGGCTGCTGCACGCGGGACAACTGGAAGAGCTATAGGCTTTCAGTAGCTGTGTTAGTCGGCTTACTCTTATTAGAGCGCAGCACGACCTAAGCGTTCTATTCAAACAGAACATGGCGAGCTCCGTACTTCGCCCCGTGGCATTTTGCCAACGGCGGCGATCGATAAACAGCAATAATCCCTACAGCAGCATTTGCACCGGCATCAGCTAGCCAGCCAGCCGGCCGGCCAGGCGTCCCCGTTAGCGGCGCGCGAGAGCGAGAGAGCCCAAGAGTGTGTGTCTAACCCTCGGAGCAGGAGGTTTATTGATCATCTCGCCTCCGCCCCTTCCCTCGAAGTCGTCGTCGACGTTGTCGTTTGGCCGGTCATCATTGTGTTGAGTATTCACAGTAGCTAGTTGAGCGAACAGTTGAGAAGCGCTGAGCAGTGAGCGAAGAAGCCGCTGTAAGCTGTGTCATGTCGATGGAGGATGATGCTGGCTCGACGCCGGTGCCGAGTGCAGGCAGTACCCACCGAAGCTCACTTTGGATGAGTATGGGTTTTATGTCAAATGATGATTCCAGAAGACGTCGAATGAGCAAGAAACGTGAGAGCATCGAACTAGCCTCGTTAGGTGAGCGCTTTTGACCACTTAACTTTTTTACATTGGATGTTTTTTTCCTCAACAGTTTTTGATTTCTGATTCTTGGATTCTAAGCTAAGACAAACTTGAAACCATTAACACTCGTTATACCTTTGTTTACACGTGCATCATCACACCACTTGCTAGTGTTTGTGTGCTTCTCTAAAAACTTTCTAAATCAGTTCTCGTGCTAGCATTCTGCTTTTGTGCTTTGTTTCAACAAGTCTCATTGTTATGTCTCTGCCGCGTCGCCTTGGTATCAGTTGATATCAACACATTTTTTATCTTGGCTTCCTTAAAATTTTAATGTGCATGTTTGAAAGGATTTGTTTTCGAGTCCTTCAAAAACCCTTGGCCATTTTTTCATCTTTCCTATAGGCAGTGCACCAGCTATATGTCTCTTCTTTGGTGACCATTGCCTCTAACAATGAGGGATGTGTAGCCACTTGTTGATTTTTGACTTTCTTGCTGGCTAGAGCTATGGAACTTGCGTGGATCTGTGTGGGCAGAGCAGTGCTCTGAATTCTGCATTGCTTTTAAGGTGGTATAATCAAAATTCATCTCTATTTGAGCTTCTAATCATCTGCTTTTATTGCATTGGTAACATTATCAACTACTTACTGCTGTTATCATGGTCTTTCAACAATATTGTGATTTACTGTGAGTTTTGCTAAGTTCCTTGATTGACATATATACGAAGGCGCATCTTATCAGGAAGACTACACTCTTATCTCTCTGAGTGAAAGCAATTGCGGTGCGCTATCATGAACATTGCGAACATTAGCTTTCTGAGATGCCTCGCAAAATAAGCGTCCGTTAGAGATTTTCAGATCAGACCAAAAATGAAAGCTTTCTGGACTTATCTTGTGCGAGAAATGTAAAAGTGCTCGATCTGGGTAGGTTTGCGTCGGAGTTCCCTCTGCTCTTTTTTATTCGATTCCTTATGCAGTCGGGCTATGCATTACCTTTGTTGGTGATTTAGTCATAGATAGCTGTTTTTCAAATAGACGCGGCTCTCTGTAGCAAACTTATTTTCAGTAAGGAGCTTCAGCTCTTTTCTTGTTCATAACTTTAGTCACGAAAATTGATATAAAGTCTTGCATGTGTCAAATGAGGTCTTATTTTACAAGTTCACACTGGAATCAATTTTTCAGCAACTCTGCCAGCATTTTGAAACTGTGAGGAATTTCAAGTTTCGAAATCCTATTCTAATCACCTCACAGTAGAGACAGCGGGGTTCTTTGTTTTGTATGCTAGAGACACTTATCAACGCCTATTGCACGAAAGTGCTGCCAGCCGCGGTGGATGAGCGCTAGAACTGTTAACAGGTTTCCAAGGGCTAAACTTGGTTAACACGTTTCGGACCGCGAAATCGCGCGCGGCGAAAAAGAGGGTACTTTCAGCCGTTAGCCAACAAACGGGCCTTAATTCGTAGATTGTGTGCTACATCTGTAATTAGCATGTCAGATAAGACCCATACTCAGAGTTCTGAGTGAATTCGAAGTGTTTGAATTTTGTCGTCTGAGAAGCACTTCCGTGCTTTCTTGAAAGATAGGAACAAGATTTCAGTTTCTAATTGTATCCAAAAGTATCTATGTTGTACACGATATACATTACTATTAGAACTACGGTTTTTCCCTTCGTATTCAAAGCTAAGAAAAGTTGCGACGTCGCACGCGTCGTTCGCGTTGCCGCACTTCGTTGTAACTGCTGTTCGATTTGTGCTCATATCTTCTAAACAAATATCGGCTGCACAACTTTACAGAGTCATCTGAAAAGTAGAAGCTTAGGCCTTTGATTTGATAACCTTGGACAAAAAGAAAACCTCCTGTAAACGTTGAAAAGCTCCTTCGAATGCGCGTGCTGCACCATGTGCAGCACCGGTCCGAAACGTGTTAAAGTGTGGTCCACCTGTAATGACGCACGTGCGTTTAGCTATACCAGCCCATCGCTATGTGACTTTCTAAAAACCATCATTTCAACATTGGTATGCGAAATCATCAGTGCAGTTTAAATGTCTCTAAGGGGGGACTGTTATACGTATCTACCTCGAAGAAGATTTTTCAGCCTGAATATCACCAAAGCCTTTAGCATTTTTTACTTCAAGAAACCCGTAGCTGGCAAACTCGGCTTCGCCTGACCCTATACACTAACGAGGGAAGGATACCCGGTGACCGTGGCCTATTGAAATAAAACGCACATCATAAAATGTATCTTGAAGAGCTGTTTCCAAATCTGTTTCCGGTATCTGCTGTGCTCTTTTCCGAACGAAGTTATGAACGTTCTTTACCAGAAAAATTTGCACTCTTTTGAACAGGATTCACCAAATTCGTAGAATGTCCACTTAGGCACTACAAAAGAACGTCCAAATAGAATTAAGCCTTACGTTAAGCTTAGGATAACTATGTATATAACAGAGTCCGATATATCAGAGTCTAAAAGGACTGGATGCTAACGATTGTGACTGCCTAGATCTCGTAAAAGCAATATGGTAAAAAGTTCATAACTTTTCTTTCTCTCTCTTTTCCTTTTAAGGCTATTGACACTTCGTTTTTTTCTATAGGGAGTCGCATGGCAGATATAATGAACATAGAATTAGAACCAGCGTTTAAGGCGCATCTCTGGTATATATTTCACTGCGAAAGGCCACAATCACCAGGGTATCCTTTTCTGAGAGACGGTCAAGAGACGCGATTTCTCTGGCTGTCACCAACTAAAACTCCATTTTAGTGCTATGCGAGTCTACAAAAATTACCAGATAAATTGCATTAGCTTACTGTCTGCCTGAGGTCACCACTTGCTGATTTTCATGGTTTTTGCTATAAATCGGAATGAAATATAGACGAATTTGTTCTGAAATGTATTTTCATGAGTTTCTGACCTTTAAAATTGCTCTTTTGAATTTTTTCTAAAGTATCAAGATTGAACAGCTCATGCAACTATCTAATACATCTTCTTCCAAATTTCATATACTTTTAGAAAGTTGCAGAACCTCATTATGTGCCATTTGGTGTCCAGCTGGCAATAAAAATCGCGCCTCTTGACATACACCCTCCTTCCCTTACGAAGCCCGCATGCATGTACATCCCGCTGGGGAGGGGAGGGGATCTGAGAGGGGGGTCATATCTTGCTAATCTAGATATCTATATCCTTCATTTTCTGTCTATGTTATTAAACTTCTTATACCCTGATACTTGAGTGTAATGGATCGTAGAATTGCCAAAAAGCTGAGATTTCCACTGTTTCGTTATCCCCTGAGGATCACCCATTCTTTCCAAAGTCGTTTATTTCAATGAATGTAAACGTCGTAAGGTTGTATTCAGGATCTACTATGTTGCGGATGTTTTCGGCAAATCATAATTTGTGCAGGTAGTGATTCAATGGACCTCAGCTCGCGAACAGCGGTTCGTCGAAAATTTCGATATCCTGAGTCCTCATTGATTTTTCACTTATGTTTAGCAGTGCCGTAGTATATCCTTGGTACAGTTTTATGGCATTTTAATCAAGTTTACTGGTAAATAAATGACTTCGAAAATGTGAGGTGCCCAGGGGATCATAAAAAATATTGAAATTCTCAGCTTGTATGGCAGTGACCTGTCATCTACTATACTCAGATATTAGGGCTTTGAATAAGATAGATGGAAAAAGAATAATACACATAACTAGAGTATCGATATATGACATATCTCCAGATGCTCCCCCTTCCCCCCGGGGATATATAGGCTACAGGATGACGAGGGCGCAATATCTTTAGGTGCGAACGCGGCTTTATCAGCCGCAGAGCGCAGGCGCAGGATCTACATACGATGAGGATACGCGCGCATCGCGTTCGCTCCCACTCAACTAATACCGCTTCTGCTCCTTCGTCATGCTGTAGCCTTTATCTGCATATGGGCTTAAGATGAAGATTACAATTTTCTACTTCTGTACAGCCTGCCCACATTTACACCCTAGTTCACTGCCTCCTCCATGGCTCAGTCAGCATGCTCACTAACCCCCCTGTGCAAGCTTCTAGGTCAACTTTGCAGGGAACCATTATCGGTAAAATAACGCTCAGAATCAATCGTAGTCGTATCCAGCCTGCTCACAACCTATATCAACTCCCTGTCTCGTAGCTCAATGCACAAAGTCTGTCGAATTGTTTCAAACTGGAACCTTTCAGACAGATAGCATACCGGCAGCATTGAGCATATTACTGTATAGCTGTAGTCTGGTTTTTTCTGCTATTGCTCATATGCACGAAATTCGTAGAGCAAGTTGTAGCCAGGCCTTAGGCTCAGTTTTGCACAGCGCATCCTTCCAGCATATAAGCCCACCATGCAAAAGCACGAATTGTTCCAATGCACGGTTCCTTCAACTTTTGGCCTGCGAAACTGGGTCGGTATCTAGACTTGCAAAATTTCTGTATTTTTCGAAAGTAAGTCTGGAATCCATGGACTTTAGCCTATAAAGTGAGAGAAATTCATTTCCGCGAAAGCGAAGCTAAAAGACAGTGATTGCATAGATCGATTTGTCAAAGTTTTACCCCCCAAAAATTAAGAAAATTTGTAAATCTCCTCACTATGTAACCAATGATTGGCTGAGCAGTAGTATAATCTCGCATTCCACTGTTTTTTCCAAGAAATTACCAAAGAATTTGGACCCACTTAGGATTTTCTTCATGATAACAAGTCACTGTGAAGTTATTTTCGAAAATTCTTCTTGCCGCGCAGAAAATTTTTTAGCATTTTGATGTTCTACCCTCAGTCTCGCTGTAGGAAACGATAGTTCCGTAACTGCATTGTTAATTTGCGACTGCTAAGGACTGGCAACGGCAGACCATACTTAGCCAGAAATTTCTTGAGGTTAAATTCCCTGAAAATCATGTTTAGGCATTCTGCAGCATGAATTTCCAGCAAACATTGATTATGTTCTCAAAAAAAAATCGTTTTTGTGCGTGACTTTCGTGAATAGACAAGAGGAAGTATTCAGAGATGGGGGAACATATTAATCGTGCAAAAAAAAAACTAGAGAAAAGCTCTCAGGGGTTAAGCAATGTTTATGATGTCAAAACTATCATTATAAAGAAGAGGTAAAAACACAAGCAAAGAAAGAGCAGAACTTTTGAACAACTTAATGTTTGGCACTTTGTATTTTGCATTTCTACAATTAGAAACAAATGCACATGCTTTTCATCTGGACTTCATGCTCTATTGTCCAAAGTAATAAGTTGATGGGATGTATACTTGCACCTGATTGGATGTCTACATTGCAACAATGTCCGGCATATCATTCTGGCTTGTGTTTAGTAGCAAAAGAAATGTTTCTGTTCTCATGTTGGTTCGCTCGTTGAAGTGTGGTTTAACAAATAACATATTTATAAGGTCAAAATGGCGCTCTTTCTTTCATGTGCATTTATGAGATGAGGCCGAATAACCATATGCTAAGAATAAGCGCATATCTTGCTAGTTACTCCAAATGGGCAGTTTGCGAACGATAAGGCACGCATAGGTTTTAAGCTATAGCAATCTTTGTTCTGAAACCTTTGGTATCTCCAGACATCACGCTGCAGGCTGAGTAGCAGCACGCATGCAGTCGCTTTTCGATGCACTGGGTCATCATAGTAGCTGTCCGTCTCGTGAGTTCATCGCTCTCATACCAAGTTTGGTGTATATAAAAGTATTTTTTTCAATACCTCAACGAGAAACATCTTGTCTCCAAAATGTAAGGCTTCCCCGTATAGAGATTCAAACACTCAGACAAGTACACACCTCTTTTCCGTCTTTAGGTAGCAGAAAGATTATTCAAATGAAACTCGCGTCCTCGTTCAGAGACAACTGATGGAGATAAAAATTATGATATTCACTACAAGTGATTAGAGTTGTTGTCTGCAGTTGTACCTTTTCCTGTCTTCGATCTCATTTGGGGCGTGACTTTGTGTTTTTATACCAAACTATTCATTATCGTAGCGAGCGCGTGCCCTTCCTTGTAAATGAGTGGGTCTACGTTTGTACGTTAGATATCCACACGAGGCACTTTCTTCTGCAAATTCCGTTCAAATGTCGCGTCAGATTTATGGGAAAATGGGAGAAGGGCATTGAATCATATGGAAGTCTATCTCAAACTTTTTGGTAGAAGGACTTCCTTGGATTAGAAGGCTTTCATCTCAGAAGCGCTGCAATTAGGCTATAAAATATTCTTTCATCCATTTTTCTACTCTGAAAAGCCCTATTTTCCACTCGAATATAATATATTTTTCACTTACTTTGTTACTCTATGGTTTGAGATAGACTTCCATATGATTCAAGTATAGCTGCGCATAACTAGCGGGAGTCTTTTCCTTCGCGTAATAGAGTAATGCGGACGCCTCTCCATTATGCAATCGAAGTCTCGAGAAGCTGCGGCATGCAGTGTAGTCTTTATACCGCTAACTTGAAGAAGCTTTTTTGATGAAAACTAATTTGAGTCTACGTTGTGTTTGTTCACATTAGCATTCCCCCACTCCTTTGGGGAGTGCGAAAATCCTGAAATTGAGCAGAGTCCGAAAGTGTAGAGGCTATTCGTCTTCACAGAAGGGATACACTAAGCGTAAGGTCAGTGAGTGGATCGGCATCAGCTCGGAACATACGAGATGCGCGTCAAGCTCTATTTTAGCAGAGGATGCTTTATTAATTAGGCGACCTGTTGCTGCTCAGTCATCTACGATATGGTCGTAGAAATTCTTTTTCTTCCCCTTGTTGATGGTTAGAAACCAACTGTGGACCACAAGCTTACCTTTGGGGTAATAGTTTTGAAGCTGCAACTTTCGACCGTCTTCTGAGCGTTCATCGACACCATGGTTTATTTCATTGTAGGTATTTTTCAGTATTTTTTCATTGCATTTTGAATGGTCAAATGGCAGGGCTTATTTCTAGCAAAAGCCTCTCTAAGATAAATGTGTGATTGCACTTCATTGTCTTTTGAAACGAGGACTGACTACACTGACGTGTATAGTAGTCGAACAGTATGCACATAGAATGGAGAAAGAATCGAGCGTATCACTTCAGATGCTCAGAGAGATGCTATTGCAACAAAACAGTGACATTCAAATGCTAAGTATTGATCAACTCCACATCGTTTAACCAATCGTCATTCACATGATGATGATGATGTAGTCATCGGCAGAATTCACTCTCTGTCAAAGTTCCTTCGATTATGTTGCATAGCATCATCGTGCATCCGCCGAAGCTCTGCGCTCGGTTCCGTAGGTGCTTGTTAATATTAGGTCGTTCCGAAAGTAATTTCGCATTTTTCAAACGGGCGCTACAATCGATGGAACAAACCTTTTTGAGAGATCTTGGTAGCGTTCGATGCAGAATTTCATTCTCTTTCTAATACTTATGAAACTGTTGCAAAACAGTCAATGAACTTTCAGAAAATAACCAAAGTCTGCGACCCATGCTTTTTGAGATGGTCATGTTTCACGATTTTCTATAACTTTCATATCAATCCTCAGAAGGAGTTCAAGTAACGATTCGATAGAGTAAACCTCATAGAATACAGTGCAACTTTTTTCTCTTTTCCATAGCTTGTCATACATTTTTAATAGAGTTTTGACTGATGCTTCCGATTTCCATACTTGGACAGCTAAATCCTTGTAGAACATCAAAGGAAGAACAGCTCGGGTGCTGTTTGATGCAGCATTTTCTCCTCTTTCTAATGGGTGTTTTTTGTTTCCGATTCGTTTAGTTTTCGGGGATAAAATCATCACAATTCATTTTTTTAAGGAGCCCCAGGCTGTACCCGGAAAACTCGAAATTTGATATTTCGAATCCGTAAACTCTCATTTGCTTTATAAATTCAATATCAAGTCATGTATCATCTTGAAAGCTTGAAATTCCGAGTGACTACCGATGTTTGATGCGATTGTGGCTGAGGTGGGACTGCCAAAATCCGATGGCTTTGTTAAAAAAATTTTTGAAAAATTACGGCGAGCTATGAGAAAGAGAAAAAAGAAGTACTGCATTTTATGAGGTTTACTCTATCGAATAGTTACTTGAACTTCTTCTGAGGATTGATATGAAGGTTTTAAAAAATCGTGAAACTTGACCATCTCAAAAAGCATGGGTCGCAGATTTTGGTTATTTTCTGAAAGATCATTGGTTGTTTTGCAGCAATTTCATAACGTTTGGAAAGAGGATGAAATGCTGCATCGAACGCTACCAAGATCTCTTAAAAAGGTTTGTTCCATCGATTGTGGCGCCCGTTTGAAAAATGCGAAATTACTTTCGGAACGACCTAATATTAAGATTTTTCATGAGTCTATATAATCTTATGGAAAAATAAATATCGGTTCAGAATATCGACAGAAGCAGCAGAGTTATATATGTAAACTATATACAGCAGCTGTAAAGTTGGCAAACTAGCCTTCTTAATCCCTAGCTTCATGTTAATCTATCAACTAATAGAATATTCTTCTATTAGGTAATAATGCTGTTTTTTGCATGCTTCACGAGTGATTTAGCCTGCTGTCGAACAATATTTGGTTGCACGTCGAACACTTTAAAAGAAAGCTTATCTGTTTGAAGACATAATAGTCATTACTATCTTATCTGCTAAATTCATTTGATGTACAATATTTAGCTCCTGGGACTCGTGTTATGTTCCTCTTGAAAGAGAAGGATGACATGCCAGCGTTGTTCACCGAAATGGGCGAACTCGGCAGCAATGAATGGAGAGAGACTGCCAGATGGGTGAAGTTCGAAGAGGACGTCGAACAAGGTACTCTAGACATATCTATGTTTTCATGTTGCATGTAATAGTAATGAGATTAACCGATTTCTTCAGGTGGAAATCGCTGGTCAAAACCCCATGTTGCCACATTATCTCTACATTCACTGTTTCAACTGAGAAGCTGCTTGCTTAATGGCCTTTTTCTCAACGATTTACCATGTACGGATCTACCAGCAATTATCGGCAAGTTTGTTTTATCTGTCAGGAATATCGCACAAGTGACCGAATCAGTTTTTGCACTGTATCCTGGAATGATTCAGGTCTGAAAAATGTGGTGTTGACATTGAGCCACCGTAATTCATCAGTCCTTGAATTTGTTTTTTGGTTTGTTTGAACATCTGATGAGTGCTGTTTACATTGACCGGAGTATTTGTCAACCTGAAAATGAGCGGTCGGATTCACAGGATGAAGGAATTCGAATTATCATCGGTCCTGATTTCATTTTTGCAACTCGGCGATAATCTGTTGAAGATGCAGAAGTACTAGTTCTTCGAAGCGCCAAGGCTGTTATTGTCAGGATTTTCAGAACCTAGCGCTTCCATAAGACTTTCAAAGGGGAGTATGTAGTAGCGTACCAAAACTGTCACAGCGATTCTCGCAGCAATCTTGAAGTTCAGCTCTGTTCCACGAGTCTGGGTATGTACGAAATTCACTTAGATTGTAAACTTTATGACCCCTATAGAGCAAAATGGGACTTGAAATTGAATCAGTGTTACACCTGAAATTCTGCCTATATCTAGCATCGTACAACATATTATCTATGTCCGATTTGTGGTATTTGTGATTGTCTGAATCAAATGTTTTGAGGGCAGAATCGTGCTTTAGCTCATTACCTCATTATGTCACGATCTCATCGAAATTCAGAGCTTTTTGACATCACTAGTCTTGCAAACGTTTCACATCTTGAATGGTTTTTGCTCGGTGAAAGCTACAATTCAAGTTCTTCCTCTTGAGGTCAGCCGTAGGCAAAGACGTTATCACTGAGCGCTTGCCAGCATATGCTCGCTCAGGCGTACGTCATCTGGTTCTATGACGCACAACCCTTTTAAATCTGTATGTTGTACGCCAACTGACAAGAACATTTTGTCGATGGATGAAAGATGACAATTTTGAACTTGACTGGGTTATCACATTGTAAGGTAGCCCTTGGCAACTTGGAATCTTTGCATGTGGCATCAAGCCCTCAGCCACATTCCGTGGGCGAATGTGCCAAATACATCAAGTCGTAGACCAGAACCTAAACTTTAGCTGGCTTTCTCGAATTTTCTTGCAATTAAACCTGACCGGAATGACAGAGAGAAAGATAATCGCAGAAAGCAGATCCTTGACCACTTTTCCTGTCTTTTTTTGCAATAAACCTTCTTGAAGGCAACATTCAGGCAGAATCTGTTTCGCCATTGCCAAGTAGTCTACAAACAGGTCCTAAAAATAGCTTCTGCGATACGCTCTTCAAACCATTCACGACATTTTTCGATGACTGCCATTTCGGACTAGAGCATATTTCCCAATATTGAGTTTTGCGTAATATTTTCTGGCCACGGACAAGTCCTGTGTCTGAAGTGTTAATCTTTTGGGAAGTATTAAAAGAGATGTATACAGGAGTTCATTTTGCCCAAATAGTTTCATCGTAAACTAGCAAAATCAGAAACTTCAGAAAGCATGACCCACCGGTGGGTCGTATTGTCCGAAACGGCAGGACACTCACGACACATGGTGGGTCATATTGCCGTGAATGTGTTATTGTGGCTCACCGCTCACACTTGCAGGCATTGGCTCGGCAAAAGGTGTACTAGGATCATCTTCAACGCTGTTCCCCGAAAACCCATTTTGGAAAGAAAAGTGGCATCGAGCTAAAGCCTTTTAGTTTTAACATGGATGAATGGATATGTATTGGCGCGCAGGAGACACTTGCCAGTAGAATTCATTGAATTTACGTCCAAAAAGCCTTTGTTGATTGGAAAAGGGACGTACCAGTTGCAATCATTCGAAAAGTGATGCAAGCCAATGGTTAGCATAAGCGCAGCTCTCCTGGTCTGCTCCTGTTTATCTCAAAAACTTCGCGTTTCTTTATTTTCGAGGAATGCGAGGCAGCTAAAACTTTGTCTCAGCAATCTTTAAGCCGGTACTTGCATCTCCGAGAATCGAAACCTAAAGGATCATTCTACTTAGAAACTACACCACACTTTGCTGTAATCACTGCTCTTACAAGGGAAGGATTGTTGGTGGAAGTAACTTTTGAGATAAGATCCATACTATTATGTAAAGCGCAACCCCATGTGAGTCAGCATGGATGTGTGTATGTTCCAGCTTGTTTACCACCAATGACAATGCGCTCGGTAGCCAAGATGAGTCATCACGCTGATGATGACTTCGTATAGTGCTGCGTTCAAATGTTTTCGGTTATGCTCTTCAGCGATGTTTTTGAGCAGGCACCAAAAGCAGCGAAATTAACCACTTGAACTGTCAGCGGCTGAATTGATTGAACTCTTTCACCGACTGTAAAAGCTTCACTTCGAAAGTCATCAAGGGTTGGTCCAGTCGTTTGTACATTATCTCACCACCATTACTTCTTTTTTTGGCATCTCGCTTCTCTATTTCTATTATGGAGGGTTTAATTTGGAGTGCAACATAAGTCGAAAAGTTAAGTATTTTAGCAGAATACTGCAGTCTTCTATAGTTCATTTCTCGAGTGCTTAGTATGTTTCCTCACCGTAAAACAGTTGCGCCATACCTTCAGTCATTCTGCTCTCCTAAATTTTCTGCTAACATATCTCAGCAAGAAGAAGTTCTCAATGAAGTGCTTAGTGAATGTTGATATCTCGGATAAACTGCAATAAATCTTTTTTGAAGGTTCCTCGCAAACTTTATTTTGGACATTCTCTGTCTACGATTTTTTTTCTGGATGAGCACTTTTTTGAAATGTCTATACCACGCAATTCTTTGGACGGCTTCTTCTCAGTCTATATCCAAAGATATTTGTCAAAGTTGACGAACTTCGAAACTGTGACTCCATCGAGTTGACATCTCAATACTGTATGAACCTTTTGATAGTTGCCAACAGTTGTACGCTATCTTACCAAACAAATACGGGTCATGCAAATTATCTTGAAACTCGATTAAAGCTGGATGCAAAAAACTTCTTCAGCTAGAAAAGAGTCTAAAGAAATCACTTACAAATTCCCGAGTTTTGCTACAATATCAAAAATTCGTGAAGTAATGTAGAAGAACGTCAATGCGATCGTAATCGATTTTATTAGGACTAGTGCTGTATGAATCTGTCGTTAGTATCTCAGCTACGAATAAGAGACAAGGTGGTATAGAAGTTGGTTTTACGTGAACTAGAGCTTTACTAAACTACAGCACAGCTTTGCCGAATTATTGCACAACCTCAAAATTGTATAAGGGACGAGATCTGCCAGAAGCATAAACACCTTTTAGTAGATCCCTTCAAGAATTTAAACTTGCTTAATAAGATAAGCTGGAAATTGAGTGGATTTTGAAGCCTACGGATGTACGGATGAATTGCAAGGATGCTGGACAGTTTGGGAACTTCATAAAACGCGAACGAGAGTTTTGACAGTAAAATTTCTTGAAGTAGAAGAGGAATTGTGACGCTCTCAAAAAGAATACTCTTCGAATTTGAAAAACTCTTGGATTGGTGGTGCCGATGTCAGCTATATATGTTCAAGAATATCAGTTCGAAAATTCAATTTCGGAAAGAGATAAAAATAGTCTGATTAAAACTTTTGGGTGGAGGTTCTAAGGCAGTTTGCAGGCTCATTCAGAGTGAAGTCGTCTCAATCGTGATCAGGCTGAACATTTCCAATAAGGTAGATTTGGGGGCAACTTTTGAAGCGTGAGCTAGAACTGAAGAGTGTGAGAATGCGAGAAGAGATCGGTACTTCGGATTTGATTAAGAAGCTACTGGGTGAAAAGGAGTGGGGGGGGGGGGGAATCCTTGAAAGACTAAGATAGCAAAACGTTATACAAGATTCGAGTATCTGTAAATTAAGTATCTGTAAATTCGTGTCTCTGCGAGCAAAGGAAGTGGCGGTGCGGTTAAAAAAGAAGCTGGGAGGGAAGCGATCATGATCCTGTTGCCAATTTTGATAAAAAAAATTTTTCGGAACTTTTAAAAGTAGGAAAGATCAGTGACTTTGACAACTTCTGGGGCCGTTACTGTTCAAATCCGTGACATAGTTTCGGAGAGGAAAAGGTTCGCTCCAAATCTTCAAAGGTTCTAACTTTCAGTCACATTCTCACTTCACACACACAGCTATCCAAAGCGCCACGAAGCGGCGCTTTGGACTGGTGTGCAATATTTTGGTAAGCATGGAACGCTAATTCATCAGTTTTTCTTATCTGCGGAGCATTCCTGCACGAAGTGTGAGCGTTTCTAAAAAAAATTTGTGCGTAAGTAGAATCAAAGTGGTCGTGTTTTTCTCTTATCTCTTTAATGGAGCAGTATTAATTATCAGAGCACTTTATGCAATAAATACTTTCTGATAGATTAAATCCACACTCCACTGGATTTAAGCTCAGGAAAATTAGCAACCGATTTTACCTCGGAAAACCATTTTTTGCTCTAATAAATGATCATAACTTCTCGTTTTTGAACTGCAGATAGGAAAGACAGATTCGGAATTAGCGTTTTATCCACTACAAGATGATAAATGCCCATTTCGATTAAACACCTTTTCTTGTTAGTGTTTTGTCTTTATTGCCTAATGCCTTGGGAAAGCGGGAAAGCTTAAAACTCTTTCGCAGAGTCCAGGGAAAGGCAGACTTGAGCACAGTTAGCATGTCGCTATCAGTATATGTCTTTTTCTGAGAGACTGCGTGACAGAATGATAAAATCTTGAAGTGGTATTTTCCTTTATAGCTGCATATCAATGGATGCTGCCTAGAACGCTGATTATCGATTTGCTTTTTTGCTAAACGCTTCTGTAAACGAAAGTGTAAGCCATTACATCGCAAAGACTTCTGTATGCAAAGTAATGGGACATACAGATCTCTGCTAACTAATAGCTATATATCGGGTACATCCGTCAAAGTAAGCTAAAAGACCACTCATGTATCTAACTTTGCGATTCATCCGTACGACTTCTTCAAGATAAAACTGCTCATAGCTTTGTTTCAAAAGCGTTTGATAGATAGAGAGAACTTTGGGGTTAGCGTTCCACGCTTCCAATGGTAGGCAGCTTGCCTGGAATGGCCAACTTCGACTTATGATCTTTCCTCATTTCCTTCTTCACTTTGTGAGCAGTCAATTTCCGAGTGACAGGTCCTTAACTTGTTTCGGACAGTGCACATGATGCGTCACTGACTCTGCAACTGTCTTCTGCATCCTACAAGCGGTCGCCTTCCGATATTAGATTGCCATCGTATAAGTTTACTGTTTAACATCATACCCTTCTGATCCTGCGCTAGCTAATTTTGTTCGCACCAAGGAATGGAATGGAAAATAATAAATAACTGCAAGTCGGTGCGGCGTTGCGGACGTCTCTTGTGACAGAAACTTGCGCGGTTCATTTTCAAGCTTTCAAGAAAATATCTCTCATTGCAAGGTATAGGAGAATACAGAAGCTAATTATGAAACAAGTCTATCTTATTTTGAATTAAGTAAACGCTCCCTGCGTAGGTAAATACGCTACACGCGTGCCAAAATTAAGAATAGGCTATGTTTTGGTACGTAGAATAGGCTATATTTTGGTTACTCGGCACGCTGATCACGAATATGATGTTAATCTTGCAAAGTAGCGCGGTTTTCTGATATTATTAGGTTGTAACAGAATTAATGCAGGTTTTTCACATCGCTTTTTCAAAGTGTTGGTTCAAAACAAAATTGCATCGTCTTAGGAAACTATGCATATCTTCTGAATGCACTCTTCTTCTAGTTTCTTAGGCACGCTTTCGTTTCAGGAGAACTGTGTTTATTCCGAAATTACGCGCTTTTGAAATCAAGAAACTAAACCTTGAAAATTTTTCTCTTTACACTCTTTGCTTTAAATCTACCGCGAAAAGTCGGAATTTTTTGCAAACTGGCCTAATGTTTCTATGTGATCTGTGCTACAAAATGCACACTGAAGCAAATTTCTCGAAAGTTTCCAGACTGAGAAATTTTATTTCAAACCCAAACAACCGCTGCTATTATTCTGCGGCGTATAAAAATCCTAAATGCGAAGCAATTGCGGAGCTTTTGCGGTGAGCAGAAAGAATAGACATAGGACACATGATAGCAGAAAAACGAGAGCTGTTATTCTCTTTAGCGGCGAGAAAATTCAAAAAACAGCAAAAAAGCACTTTTTTGTCTTTTGAGAGCATTTGTGAAAAATGAGTGATTACAAATTTTTTGCAATATCTTCTTGCATTTTTTTTGTAAAAATCAACTTAAACACTGCTGCACAACCGACTATTATCTGCACAGTGAATGAAGTTTGCACCATTTTACTACATTGTATAGTGAGTTATGGTCTCTCAAACTGAAGGTTTTTCAAGAAAACCTTTGGCGGTCTTCGGGCTGTGAAAATTTTCTCAGTAAAGCTGCAACGATAAGATAGTGCTTCTCACATTGCCAAAGCTTTGCTGATTGCAGTAGTTTTTGTTGGAAACGGATTGACCATTTCTGTAAAAAGTTTTAGTGTTCCAAACTCAAATTCGGAAACTGCATTAATTCTGTTACAACCTAATACATTGTATATGGTCGACCATATCGGATCAAAACCTCAAATCTGGTCAGAGCTATAGTACATTACTCACTCAAAGCGCACGAAAAGACCCGTTCAGGACAAGCGAGATCATTACCGTAATCAGGATGCTGAAGAAGCTTCTGCACAAGGCTCCAAGCAAATCTGAGATTTTGCCCCACTTACTGTGTACGCACCGTAACCACACAGAACGGCGTTTTGTGCGATAACAAGAGATATTCGTGATCACCATGTCATGTGACCCGCTTGGAACAAGTTTGAGACAAATTCCACTCCTTTGATTTTTTGGGGTCCAGATTTAGGGGTGGTTAGTTAGCTCTCGCTTTTATCACAAAATATAGGACCTTGACGTCAGTTATTCATGAACTCAGCTTGAAATGATGCAACGAAAAAAAGTCGGTCCTAAATGCCCCTCGTGCTACACATGATGTAGCACGACATTTTGTCGAGCGCGATTTCGCGGTCCGAAACGTGTGATTTAAAAGGCTTCCATTCAGAGGCTTTGATAAGCGAGTTTGTAAAGGAAGGTGATGTGGAGGAGGACATGCGAGATGAGCTTCGTGAAATTCTCAATCGAAAACATGTGCATCAATATGAGCAGGTTGGTCTCTGTCACGATCCACTACAAGCGACCATCAGTAAATTCATATGTTTAGGCGAAAAAGAATGGTCCAAATGGTGACAAGAGCGGTTTCTTGAGCACAGTCCGTTCAATATCAGACATCGGCAAATCGTTTTCTCACGGGAAAAACCTGGCCAAATTGGACAAAGAGCAAGCACCTGTCGGCCCACAGTTAGAACTACCGAAGGTATGCGTGTGCAGTTTCAATGGACTTGCCATCATTGAAGTAACGACCATCAGGTGGATTCTATGCCCAGAGATATGAGCAAAGATGGTTCAATTGCGGACATTAGCAAAGGCAACACCCACTTCCTGAAGAAACTTCCGCATGGCGTTGAAGCCAGCAATGTGCTTATCGGAGAAGTAAGATAATGACCAAATATCCAGTGTAGTTTATATGAACAGCTCTATTGTTGAACTGACTTGTTCCCGTCATTTGTCTCCAAATTTCCCCTTGAGTTGCAGCAGCGATCGCAAGGGTGATTTTGAATTGAACCAAAATATTTGTGACATCAAATATGGTTCAGTGTCGGTTGATTTTGGCTAGAATGTGATTTGAATCATTGATGTGATGTGGTAGGACTGTAACCTTAAACTTTCAGGTAGACTTTCTACAGCGTCACATTTGCGCTTTCGTACGTTTGAAAAGTGCAAATGTTCTTGGAGACCTCACTGAGGTGAATAGAGACTTTCGAAGTCAATTCTCTTCGGACTATCGTATTCTAGGTTCCCGTACCCACCAGGTTCATCTTCCTCATGCTTGGTCCCACAGGCCATGGAGCGCAGTACAAGGAAATTGGTCGGGCTATCGCTACGCTTATGGCTGACGAGGTGTGCAAAGTTGTTTTCAACTGTTTTTGCGAGATTGATATGTTTAAGATTTTCCACGATGTTGCCTATAAAGCACGTAATAAAGAAGATTTACTTGACGGCGTGGACGAATTTCTAGACCAGGTAAAGCATCGTTTGCTGTAAGTGTTCAGTGTTCCAGTTTTCATGGTAATCTAGGTCACCGTACTGCCTCCTGGTGAATGGGACCCCACTATCCGTATTGAACCTCCTAACCAAATTCCCTCTCAAGAAAAAAGAAAGCAGGTAAACTGAGTGATTTAGCGGTAAAAGAACAAACAAGCGACGTTTTAGGTCGGGCAAGAGTTCTTGTTAGAAAATGTGGAACTTTGTAAAGGCAAACATGTTGGAAAAGAGGAGCTGGAAGAAGAAGAAGGTCAGCAGAGTTATGGCAATTTTAGACTCACGATTTGTAATAGGTTGATGCATAATCTATGCATGTGCTAAATCTTGATTGGCAGAAAAGGTACAAAAATTCATTAAACATATCATTTGGTAGAGCAAAGCAAACAAAAAAATGGTCTTCAAACAGTCTTGGAAAGTTTGATATACGGAAAGTTAGGAAGAAGGATTTAGATATTTTCAAATGCCCAAAAATCTTCTGCTCAGTAACATCTTACGAACCTCCAACTTGCTCACAAAAATCTTGTCGTATCGTCTATCATATTTACGCTTGCTATATTTTGGCGAGAAGCTGAAAAAATTAATTTTGGCATGTCCCAGAAAATCAATGCTGGACTGCCCTGACGTAGACAGTTCCATACTACGAGCCTTTGGAAGTGTAATCACAAATTCGCCTTTTTCGACTTAGTTCTCAAGAAATATCGTGAAACATAGAAATCCAAAAACGCGACAATTTGAATTTTTGGCCTACTTTCATTTTCCAGTTTCTGGTCACGAAAAAAATGTGCCAAGTGTACATGCGAACATCTTATGCGTATAGTATACTAGCTTGCTTACCGCGCTCCGCTCGGCCCTGTCAAAACACTGTAATTAAGGTCCCATCCCTATCCCTGTACAGCCTTTCCCTGTGCCCACTTCTACACTTCATTTCCCGTTCCCTTTCTTGTTTTCGAAATCAGCATGCCCACTTACCACCCTGTGCCAACTCCCAGCCCTTCTCAGATTTTGAAAAAAAAATCGATAAAATCGATAAAAGTAATAGGTAATACCAAAAACTAATATTGTATTCATAATCAACATGCTCGATTACCCCCCTCTGCCAACTCCCAGCCCTGTAGCTCAAACTTTGCAAAAAATCGATAAAATCGATAAAAGTAATCGGTATTTCTGAAAACTAATACTGTATTCGGAATCGCCATGCCCACTTACCCCCTTGTGCCAACTCCCAGCCCCCCGTAGGTGAACTCTGCGAAATCGATAAAAATCGATAAAATCGATATCGATCGATGACGAAAAGTAGCCTATGGACACCCGTCCTGCTCTGAAGTGTATGTGTGCCAAGTTTGGTCCGGATCAGTTCAGAAATAAAAATTTCTGTTCCGCACATACGTACAGACAGACAGACAGACATTCAGCTTTATTTATAGGATACATACATACATACATACATACATACATACATACATACATACATACATACATACATACATACATACATACATACATACATACATACATACATACATACATACATACATACATACATACATACATACATACATACATACATACATACATACATACATACATCATACATACATACATACATACATACATACATACATACATACATACATACATACATACATACATACATACATACATACATACATACATACATACATACATACATACATACATACATACATACATACATACATACATACATACATACATACATACATACATACATACATACATACATACATACATACATACATACATACATACATACATACATACATACATACATACATACATACATACATACATACATACATACATACATACATACATACATACATACATACATACATACATACATACATACATACATACATACATACATACATACATACATACATACATACATACATACATACATACATACATACATACATACATACATACATACATACATACATACATACATACAATACATACATACATACATACATACATACATACATACATACATACATACATACATACATACATACATACATACATACATACATACATACATACATACATACATACATACATACATACATACATACATACATACATACATACATACATACATACATACATACATACATACATACATACATACATACATACATACATACATACATACATACATACATACATACATACATACATACATACATACATACATACATACATACATACATACATACATACATACATACATACATACATACATACATACATACATACATACATACATACATACATACATACATACATACATACATACATACATACATACATACATACATACATACATACATACATACATACATACATACATACATACATACATACATACATACATACATACATACATACATACATACATACATAACATACATACATACATACATACATACATACATACATACATACAATACATACATACATACATACATACATACATACATACATACATACATACATACATACATACATACATACATACATACATACATACATACATACATACATACATACATACATACATACATACATACATACATACATACATACATACATACATACATACATACATACATACATACATACATACATACATACATACATACATACATACATACATACATACATACAACATACATACATACATACATACATACATACATACATACATACATACATACATACATACATACATACATACATACATACATACATACATACATACATACATACATACATACATACATACATACATACATACATACATACATACATACATACATACATACATACATACATACATACATACATACATACATACATACATACATACATACATACATACATACATACATACATACATACATACATACATACATACATACATACATACATACATACATACATACATACATACATACATACATACATACATACATACATACATACATACATACATACATACATACATACATACATACATACATACATACATACATACATACATACATACATACATACATACATACATACATACATACATACATACATACATACATACATACATACATACATACATACATACATACATACATACATACATACATACATACATACATACATACATACATACATACATACATACATACATACATACATACATACATACACATACATACATACATACATACATACATACATACATACATACATACATACATACATACATACATACATACATACATACATACATACATACATACATACATACATACATACATACATACATACATACATACATACATACATACATACATACATACATACATACATACATACATACATACATACATACATACATACATACATACATACATACATACATACATACATACATACATACAAAGCAGTGGTATCAACGCAGAGTACTCATACATACATACATACATACATACATACATACATACATACATACATACATACATACATACATACATACATACATACATACATACATACATACATACATACATACATACATACATACATACATACATACATACATACATACATACATACATACATACATACATACATACATACATACATACATACATACATACATACATACATACATACATACATACATACATACATACATACATACATACATACATACATACATACATACATACATACATACATACATACATACATACATACATACATACATACATACATACATACATACATACATACATACATACATACATACATACATACATACATACATACATACATACATACATACATACATACATACATACATACATACATACATACATACATACATACATACATACATACATACATACATACATACATACATACATACATACATACATACATACATACATACATACATACATACATACATACATACATACATACATACACTAGTTGGCAAACCCGGCTCCGCCAGGGCCTATAAATAATATATTTGTAATCAGCATGCTCGATTACCCCCCTGTGCCCACCCCTAGCCCTGTAGCTCAAATTTTGCAAAAAATCGATAAAGTCGATATCGATCGATGACGAAAAGTAGCCTATGACACGCTCCCTGCCCCGAAGTACATGAGTGCCAAGTTTGGTCCGAATCGGTTCAGAAATAAAAATTTCTATTCCGCACATACGTACAGACAGACAGACATTCAGCTTTATTTATAGGATACATACATACATACATACATACATACATACATACATACATACATACATACATACATACATACATACATACATACATACATACATACATACATACATACATACATACATACATACATACATACATACATACATACATGCATACATACATACATACATACATACATACATACACACATTCAGCTTCTTATATATAAAGCTGAATGTCTGTTTGTCTGTCTGTCTGTCTGTCTGTCTGTCTGTCTGTCTGTCTGTCTGTCTGTCTGTCTGTATGTCTGTCTGTCTGTATGTGTGTACGTATGTTCCGAATAGAAAATTCCATTTCTGAACCGATCCGGACCAAACTTGGCACACATACACTACGGGCCCCGGCGGGTGTCATAGGCTACTTTTCGTCATCGATCGATATCGATTTTATCGATTTTTATCGATTTTTTTGCTGAGTTCACCTACGGGGCTGGGAGTTGGCACAGGGGGGTAATCGAGCATGGGGATTCCGAATACAATATTGGTTTTAAGGATTATCGATTACTTTTATCGATTTTATCGATTTTTTTGCAAGGTTTGAGCTACGGGGCTGGGAGTTGGCACAGGGGGGTAATCGGGCATGGGGATTCCGAATACAATATTGGTTCTCAGGATTATCGATTACTTTTATCGATTTTATCGATTTTTTTGCAAAGTTTGAGTTAGGGGGCTGGGAGTTGGCACAGGGGGATAATCGAGCATGGGGATTCCGAATACAATATTGGTTCTCAGGATTATCGATTACTTTTATCGATTTTATCGATTTTTTTGCAAAGTTTGAGTTAGGGGGCTGGGAGTTGGCACAGGGGGATAATCGAGCATGCTGATCATTCCCAAGGGGGGTGATCAGCATGCTCGATTACACCCCTGTGCCAAATTCCAGCCCCCTAGCTCAAATTTTCAAAAAAATCGATAAAATCGATAAAAGTAATGGACCTTGAAAACTAATATTGTGTTCGTAATCAGCATGCTCGATTACCCCCCTGTGCAAAATCCCAGCCTCGCATGTCAAAATTTACAAAAAATCGATAAAATCAATAAAAGTAATCGATAATTCTGAAAACTAATATTGTATTCGGAATTCCCATGCTCACTTCCCCCCCTGTGCCAACTCCTAGCCCTGTAGGTGAACTCTGCAAAAAAATCGATAAAAATTAAAATCGACATCGATCGATAACGAAAAGTGGACTATGACACCCGCCTGGGCCCGAAGTGTATGTGTGCCAAGTTTGGTCCGGATACGGCGGAGCCGGGTAAGCCAGCTAGTTATATATAAGATGCATGTCCAACCTGGGAGTGCGCAGGATTTTTTTAGACGGAAATCTGGTTTTTGGGTTCTAAATTGTTTTTCGCAAGCTCTGCATACATTGAACTTTTTGCAATTGTCTAATTGCTATTTTGTAGAGCTTGCTTTGGTTTATCAAAGAGTTTACTTCATGCATTTTTATATCTTCTCTGCCGCTCCAGGATAAGGAAGATGCAATGCATTAATCTATTAATTGATGATCAATTCATTTGAAGGACATGGTGCTGATCCTGCCTTAAAAAGAACTGGCCGCTTGTTTGGTGGCTTGATACTCGATATCAAGAGGAAGGCAAGCTTTTTTTTTTCAAATTCCAAATGTATGCATGGCATGTTTATGCACTGCAGGCGCCGCATTTCCTAAGCGATTTTACTGATGCTCTGAATCTGCAATGTTTGGCCACAACTTGCTTCATGTACTTTGCTCTTTTGGCTCCCATTGTCACATTTGGAGGTCTGCTTGAGGAAGCAACGCATCAGCGGATGGCTGCCATGGAAAACCTTCTTGGAGGTATGCTCCTTCAGCTCACAATGGTGCTATTGCATATTCTGCAAATTGGCGTATTCATCTCACAGCCAAACATGATTGGACACGACAAACTGGAGATGGTTTGAACACGGACGTTATCTGTTTGGATTTTACCAAAGCTTTTGACAAAGTCCCGAATTAAAAACTCTGTAAAAGTTTGGATAAGAGCCTTCTTGACTGTGAGATCTTTTGTTGTGCGGATCAAAAAGCTCTTTCTCCAAACCAAGGAAAATCGTAGTGGAGTGCCGCAGGGAGGTGTTCTTTCACCAGTATTGTTTTACATTTAGGGCCGCATGCACTAACCTCCCCGCTGGGGAGGGGATCGCAGCTTAAAAGAAAGCTTTATATTTCGAAACTCCAGATATCTGGATTTCACGTTGTGTACCTATCCGTAAGTATTCCTACTACCCTTCACTATGAACATGTTGAAGAGGAGCGAGAAGCTGCACGAACCGCATTTTCCAACATTTGTATGATCCCTGATGATCCCCGGCGCTTTTCTTTGAAGTCATTTTTCTTTCTCCGAAGTTAACGAAAAACTTCCAAAGCTGTGCAGATTATTTAACCCAACAGTGCTAAGCATGTTGCTGATGAGAACAAATGAATTTTTGAAAATCGAATTTTTCGGTAAACCTCAAATTTCGACCTGTGGATCATCGAAAATTTCATGACTTCAAAACATCATTTGTTCTTATCAGCAACATGCTTAACACTGTCGGGTTAGATAATCTGCACAACTTTGGAGGTTATTCGTTAACTTCGGAGAAAGAAAAATGACTTTAAAGAAAAGCGCCGGAGATCATCAGGGATCATACAAAAGCTGGAAAATGCGGTTCGTACATCTCGCTCCTCTTCAACATGTTCATAGTGAAGGGTAGTAGGAATACTTACAGATAGGTACACAACGTGAAATCCAGGTATCTGGAGTTTCAAAATATAAAGCTTTCTTTTAAGCTGCGATCCCCTCCCCGCGGGTATGTTAGTGCATGCGGCCCTTATACCAGTGGCAGACCGAGCCCCCCCCCTCCCCTCTGTCTCTCCGGTGCGGCTACGTACTGACTCTACTGACTCTCACTAACACAACGGTGGATTAAGGCCTCCGACGAAGACGAATTTGTCGAAACATAAGGCCAATAAAGAATTCCACCGTACAAACCTGGCACTGGCATAACATAGTATAGCTACATAGTAGAAAGTCAAAGCAGTCGCTTTAGTTCAGCTATGTCATACCTTTATAAGAAACGCTTATCTGCTTTTTTCTCTCAAAAATAGTTTCACGCGTATTTTGTTCCCGAGAATGTGTTTTCATAAGTTATTTCGCAGTTTTTTCAACTGGTTTGACAGCGATAGGGCTCCTTCTATCTTATGGATGCTTAGCGAAAGAAGCACTAGAAAAAAAAACTGAGTTTTCGTATTCAAAGCGCACCCGACGTAGACCTAACAGCAGGCATGCGCTCAAATTTATGCCTTCGAACTCTTTCTGCAATGTTCTTATAGGCGTGAAGTGGAGTAATGACTTTGTTTATATGTATGAGAGTCCGTATGCTTCGCGAACGATCGTGAGCATAGTTTATAAACCTTTTTTGTTGTAAATAATGCTTCTACATTATTTTGAGCTTACAAAAATAGCGTACACCAATTTTGAATGCAAAAATTTAAGCGCAGGCTTGCTGTGAGGTCTATGTCGAGTGCGCTTTGAATACGAAAACTTAAATTTTTTTCTAGTGCTCATTTGCTAAGCCTCTATAAGATAGATGGGGCCCTATCGCTTCCAAACCAGTTTAAAAAGCTGCGGAATCACCTATAGAATCACCTTTCACATGCTCGGGAACAAAATACGCGTGAAACTATTTTTGAGAGAAAAAAGCAGATAAGTGTTTCTTATAAAGGTATGACGTAGCTGGACTAAAGCGACTGCTTTGACTTTCGACTATGTATATTCACATAAGACTTTGGAAGCTGAGAATCATCTTGGTGGACAGAAACTTTAGGTTGATCTATAGTTGTGGCCAACCTTCAAGCCTGCTTTTTTTTCGAAATTTTTGATTTTTTTTCCTGAATAGTGGAACGAAAGCGGGATCCGTTCTAGTTACTGATGGTACCCCGTTAGAGACACAGCTGTACCAAATTTCAGGTCAATTCGTTGAAAAGCAGATTAAGTAGGGCAGTTTTCAGGGTGGATCTATAGTTTTCAGCACTGTACATGTAGATAACTAGAATAATTTTTTTTTAAATCCAAATTAGCCTGTAAAGAAATTCTCGGGGGCGGTAGCCACGCCATTTTTTCCAAAATTTCGGATGGCCCAAATCTTGGAAAGCACCCCAAAAATTTTTCGGAGTGCGTGGATGTCGCGACGCACCCTCATTCGGAGGCAAAAAAAACTTGAAAAAGAGAATATGAGAGAAAAATGAGAGAAAGGGAAATAAGAGAAAAATGCCAAAATAAATTAAATTTCCCCTTTTGTGCTGCTTGCTCGAAAAGCATAACCTTTCATAGAGACGCTCAATCAGCGCAAACATTGCACAGTTAGAAGAGCAGGTACCCGTAGCAGGTGTAGCAGAACCTACAATACTGACAGCTCCGATTGCTACTGCAATTTTCGGATTTTTTTTGATCTTTCACAGAAAATTCAGAATTAGAGTGATTTTCATCTACCGCTTCTATGCAGTGTATGCTCAATTGAAAGCCTCTAAGGAACCACTGTGATGAAAATGATTTGCTCTTCTTTTGGATATGAATGAAAGCACGTAAATTGGTTGAAAAAATCACAAGTTATGAATTTTTCTATACTGGTGCGACAGAACTTTCGGGACCTTATTCATTTCTATCCAAGTGGTGGTGGTTGAGATAAGCCTCTAGCCTTAACCGTGAGAAAATTGCAGAGCTTCGCACATTGCGCCCAAAATTAAAATTTCTTTGCATTTACTGTTCAGCTACTGTCTGTAGTAGAAATTGTCTACGCACACTTTACTATAGTGTGGACCCCGGCCAGTTTCCCATAGGTACCTCCGCGGCGCAACCGGAATTGAGAAGTGGAATCCCGTAAATACACTTCGAAAGGAACGTATACAGGAATAAAACGCACGTAACCTCCATTGGTACCTCGAAATCAATCAATGGCTGCAAATTTCAGATTTGCACCGATAGAAAAGCGGTAATAAGTAAACGTAGAGCAGAAGAAGAACAACCGCATTCTCAAAACGTTTCTCTTCATAAACTTAGAAACTAGAATAGTAAAATAATTCAAAAAATGTGGTTATTTCCGTAAACAGATCCCTACCTGCTTCTCGAAAGGCTTAATTTGACTTGATACACTGTCTACACTCTAAAAATCAATTCGAGAGAGACTCTTATTTAGTACAAAAAGCTTTTAGAGGAATATTCTCTTAGAATACACCTCAAATCTCAATCTCTCAGAAAAAAAAAGGGAAGAACACAAGACTAGTACTCAAGACCGAAGCTCTCAGCCTTAGTAGAGCACGTGAAATCTCGTCACCGGTTATGCGAATTGTTTACACCTGAAATAGAGGGAATATAGTAAAACAAAAGCAAGAAAATAAGAGAAAAGCAAGGAATTCCATCGACAGAAGGCGCGCTGAAGGCGTGCATTGCGGATGCGTCGAGAAGAGGTACCTATGGGAAGCTGGCTGAAGTCCACACTATATATTTTCATATTGTTAGAGATCACCTAGACTGAGACATCGGCGCTCCAACATTGGCAGCCGTTTTGGTCATTCTGTATCCCATGAATCTCTCTTGAAGAAGGCATTCGCCAAATCTTTGCTTATTTCTGCGTCGGGGTAGGCCTCCTGATGACAGTTTCATAAAAACATTTAACTCACTTTTTGGGACTTTGAAGCCCACGAGAAAATGTTAAATAAATTGACAATTTTGAATTTTGATATTTTTTCTTTTCGCACTTCTCTGTTTGAGCCTTTTCCATTGCTTTTTGTACTACTGGCTTGCGGCTATAAGACAGACTATTTACCATTTATAATAACAAATTTTGAAGGGAACTAAGGCCAGTTAAAAAAGAAATTTCAGAAAAGAACTTTTTTCTTATCAATCAATATTTTTCTGCCCGTTTGTGATATGAGTATAGGTAGACAGGTAGAGGGCGCTGTATTGCGAAAGGTTTGTTGCCTCTGGTGGTCCTTATCGCACAAAAAATGTAGATTTTTTAGAAAGTCATAGCACGTCAAAGTGAGAACTCGCAAAATGCGCATTATTTTTGCTTACAGTGAGCACTGATTTACATTGCTCCAATGCATGTGTGAGAGCCATAACAAGTAAGGTTCATTTCTGTGGTTACTTACAAGGGAATGGTCAGAAGTCGAAGTGGTCAAACCAAACAAGCTGTATACCATTCGATGCAATATAAAACGGTGACTTCGAATCTGTCTTTCTTATCTGCTTCTCGCTTCTGTGGACGAAGCTACAAGCCATTAAAAACCAATATTTTGCTAAGAAATTACGCGTGAAATTGAGAATTTAGCCGTGGTGAGCCACATTCGCCTTAATGTTGGGCCAAAACATGCAGCTAGCCTACTTAGAATTTTTAAAGAAAGAAGCTGAGCAAAGATGCAACAGTGTGCTCAATTTCGCTGTATTTATGTGTGATTGTTTCACAATAAAACCGCTTGTAGCTTCGTCCACAGAAACGGGAAGCAGATAAGAAAGACAGATTCGAAGTCAGCGTTTTATACTGCATCGAATGGTATACAGCTTGTTTGGTTTGGCCACTTCGACTTCTGACCATTTCCTTGTTAGCGGTCTCTCGACTGAAAGGCCACTACTGCTGCGTGAGTTTACGTGATACCTTTTATGATGGCCAGTGTTATTATAGAACCAGTGCTTCACCTCTGGGAAGCATGGCTAAAGCTCAGGTTTTATAGTAACAAAGAAGAGCGGTCGGCGGCTTGCTTCTTATTGTAAAACTAAGCTAAAGCCGGTTCTGCACTGGTGTTTGAAGCAAGGCGAAAACTTTCCATGCATGGGATTCATCACAATTCAGGCGTTCGATACATTATTTTGGGACACCCTGCATAAACCATCTGCCAAAACTTTCTTTGAGACGCGATCTCAGGGGTGTGGCACAAGCACAAAAAAAATTGACAGTTGGACCTTTTCTGCGTTTATGCCAATGGATTCTATCACAGAGGAAGTTATTGCAGTTGATTTGTGAGATCTTGCGATCTCGATGTTCTATTTTGACTTTTATATATTCTGTCAAGCTGTTTGCAGGAGCCATTTGTGGAGTAGTATATCACCTCTTTTCTGGGCAGCCGCTCACGATCATAGGTTCTACTGGACCAGTGTTGGTATTTGAAACGATTGTATTCGACTTCTGCTTGCGACTAGGAATCAAATACTTGAGTTTTCGTTTCTGGGTAGGTCATTTTTTCATTTCAGTAAATTGCCTTCCAGCAGATCTGTTACATTTAGGTCCATGTGTGGACTGGGTTTATTATATTTGTAATGTGCATAACGGATGCTAGCTCGTTGGTAAGAAGCATTTTTATTTGTGATTCATCGTACATTCTAGAATGAACCGCGAAAGAACGCATCTTGACCATCTAGGTGTCCTACATTACACGCTTCACTGAAGAATCTTTTGCAACTCTTATCGCTGTTATTTTCATCTACGAAGCCATTATGAAGCTTTGGAAGATCAAAAGTAAGTATATAAGCACTAATATTGCCAAAGGTAACGTAAGTTCCGTTCGTTCAGCTCAGCTGGATGTCATAAACTATAGCCGTGACGTGGTAGAAGGAACGTGCTTTTGCCAGGCACCTACTGGTAAACGTGAGTCATATATGCTAAATTTGGCGACTAAGTAGTCTACGATATTCAAACTGTTTAGCGTTGGTAACCTTCGAGAAAGCTGGCGAGTTCATAGTGAGAAATGGTCTTTCGATTCCCCACAACACGACCTACGTCGACTACGCTGCGGTTAGTTCTCCATTTCGATTTGCTTATTTTGCAGCATCCTTTTGTGCAATTTAAGCCGCTCTCTCTGCAAAAGCATCAGTAGTGAGTATTCAGTATTTATAACCAGTCATTCGTTGCATATCTGAAATAGAGCGTTGCCGTAAGTTCAACACCTCTATGCCTTCTAACATCAGTGAGAGATATGAAAAAGTAGATTTTGGAACTACACATTTAGATGGAACACATAATCATTTTTTAACTAAAGTTTCTCGCACATGTCAGCATTTTCAAAAGAGGTGGGAGAAATCAGCTCTGAATCGTTTTTGGACTTCGCGATATCGATAAAATAGCAGATAGCGATCAACATGACCATATTTCGTTTGCTTATCATTTAAAACCAAAATTAGTAAGCTTAGGATGGAGATAACTCATAAGAATCAAAAATGCTTCATTTCCGATCTTTCGCGCTGATAACCTCATGTTATATCTCGCTTCCAAGCGTCGGTCGCAACTTTCTCAAAGTTTTTCCTCTGCACAATGATAGCAGCTTGCACGTCACTGCTAATGGTAGGTTGTTATACCAAAAACTCTGTTTTATCACTTTCAAAAAGTTAATTTCTTCCTTGAAAGTGGTTTTGCCCGGCATGTGTTCAATGGCCCTTGCTAGGTCTTGATTGCAGAAGTGAAAAATGAGATTACTCGGGGCTTGGTGATTTTGAGCAGACGTGTCAAGAATTCGAAAAATATGCAATACAGTCTAAAGCAGTCAATACGTGAGTCTGAGTCATCTGTGCTTGCGATATCGAGAAAGCAGCCGAAAACGAAAAACAATTTTTGGATATCTCTCAGAGTCGTAACTTTCCATAGGGAAGCTGATTTTTTGGACTGAAAAGAGAAGTATAGGCTACTGCGTGACGAAGGTGCAATATCCTTAGGTGCGAACTATACTTGGGGAAATTCGAAATTCTTCTCGAATATACGAATATCGAAATATTATTTGAAAATCGGAGTTTTCGAATATTCGACTATCGATATTTTTCGAAAATTGGAAACTTCGAGTATCTAATATATAGAGATTCGACTATCGAATATTATGCGAGAATGGACATTTTCGAATCGAACAATATTAAATATCGAAATTCGATATTCGAATTTTGAATATTATTCGGTTCTCGAATATCATTGAATTTTCGAATACTATCCGAATAATTTATGTCAGTAAGACTGCCTATGAGAGACCAAAATATCTAACAATAAATTGTTTCATGTAAGTATCAAGAAAGGCACTTTTTTATGCTATAATTTACGATGAAAAACGGTTTAGTGATGAGTGAAGAGACTTAAGAACCTAGAAGCGTACTTTAGTGAAGGTTGCGAAAAGATTTTCCGAACTTCAAAGAGGATCATAAATATCCTCATTGGGTGTTGTAGACTGATATACCGGGGGGTCCCGACAGTATGTAGATCTATGTGCTGGCATCAACTTAGCTTACTATGGAGCAATTTATCGATTGCTTTTTACTGTTGTAAAGTTACCGTAGGAAAACTGAGGAGGGTTTTGAGACATCAAGAGTTGTTTCCTGAGGAAAGGAATCAAAAAGGCCGAAAATCTTACATTAGACTTCTAAAGACACTACCGTATATGAGTGTGCGGCGTTAGCCACGCACTCCGAATAAAATTTTTGGGGTGCTTTTCAAAATTCGCGCGGGTCCATAACCCCTAAAATCTAGAAAAAGGAGGCGTGACGGCAGCCACGCCCCCGAAAAATTTTTTTCACAAGGCTAAAACTTTTAAAAAATTAAAAAAAATTATTTTGATTGTTTACAAGAATAAACAAGCCACTTGCACATTTTATACCCCCCCCCCGGGTCCGCCACTGGTATAAAGATTTATTTACGTACGATTTCCAGCTTAGCTTTTGCCTACCTCGTGCCTCTTGAACGGATACCTATCTTTGAAATCTAGATTTCGGTTATCGCTGTTAAGTTTGGCACCTCGTAAACGCCATAATTTTTAGTGAGATTTGGCAGTCAGAAGAGAGTCAAAACTAATCGTAATTTATCTCCTAACGTTAAAATGCTTTTGAAGAAAACTGTTTCGAACACAAGATTGCAAAACATTTGGAAACATAGTAAAGATCAGTATTTGTTGATGGCTGACTACTTTTCAACTAGTCTACCGCGCACTTTACAGGCTTCTTTGGAAAACTGCAGGCATGTTGGCGGTACTTATGGCGGTACATCGTGCTATCCACTCTATGATAAGATGCTCATGTCCATCTTGTTGACAATCGGTACTTTCTTCTTGGCCATCACTTTCAAGGTCAGTCATAATGTCCTCGATTTTACCAGCTCTATTATTGTTTGAAGAGAATGCGCAACTCATGTTACTTTCCCTCTCGGATACGACAGATATTCAGCGATTTTGCTGTAATGATATCCATAGCAATCATGACCTCTATTGACATGGCCGTAGGCATAAATACTCCTAAGCTGCATGTGCCGAGTTCTTTCCGTGTAAGTTTCTTGATATTTATGCATAACTCGCATTCTCAAATACCTTATTACAGCCCACTTGGGATGGTCGTGGCTGGATCATCCCGCCATTTGATGGCAATCCATTTTGGACTGTTCCTCTAGCTTTTATACCGGCATTGTTGGCCTGTATCTTGATATTCATGGACCAGCAAATTACAACTGTAATCGTAAATAGGAAAGAGAATAAGCTGAAGAAGGTGATTGCAATATTTTTAAGCTTTGGAGTCCGTTACTAGTAGCTTTTAGGGATGTGGATACCATTTGGATCTTTTGGTATTGGGTATTCTCATAGTGATTGTTGGTTTCCTCGGGCTTCCCATATACGTTGCTGCTACCGTACTTTCAATCAACCACATCAACTCCTTGAAAGTCGAAAGCGAATGCAAAGCTCCAGGAGAAGTAGCGCAGTTTGTCGGAGTTCGGTTCGTTTTAAAATATAATTATATTTTTCTACAAAGAATATAATTCTGCAGCGAACAACGTGTCACTGGTATTATCACATTTCTCTTGATTGGTCTATCAGTGTTCATGACTACGTTGTTGGGTCACATCCCTATGCCTGTGCTCTACGGAGTGTTTCTCTATATGGGCATTTCTGCACTCGGTGGCATTCAGCTCTTTGATCGTATCCTGCTGCTGCTAATGCCAATGAAGTGAGTTTTCCTTCGAGCAATCTCGGCGTCATCTACTTCCTGGGGTCGTGTTTAGAGCCACTTTAGTGCGTGACGTAGTTTTGGATTTTAGAAATCAGGGGATTTGTGCATCTCATAAAAGGCTACTTTTAGTATCTACTTGTTCCGGCAACCGCTGACACTTTTTCTTTTTTCTTTGCACTTTGGCATATGCTTGCGGAAAATTTGCGAAGCTTCTAAAGAGAAGTGGACATGGTTATAGACACATCCAGTTAAGAAAATTTCCATGGTTTTGTCTTAGTTCTCTTCACAAGGCAACTTTCTGCAAATGCTGCTAAAAGAGTTGGCGATTCCTTTCAATGGAGCTTGTAATGTATTCTATTAGAGGAACGGATCCTCTCTAAAGAAATAGATCCAAGTAGCGGAAAGTTTCGTTCTGGATGCATGCTTCACCGTCAAGGAGTAACCTACATGATCTCCTCTTTGTTCACATAAAAGTGGCGGTAGACATTGCATATCGTTTCACTGGATGTCATTGTCTGTTTACCACTAGTCGTTAAGATGATCCCACTATTTTAGGTACCAGCCTGACACCATCTACATCCGACACGTTCCCATAAAAAAGATTCACCTGTTCACAGCTTTCCAAGTGGGATGTCTAGCAGTTTTGTGGACCGTCAAATCAATCAAGTCGACGTCAATCTCATTCCCAATAATGGTGCAGTTGGAAGGACGCAACCAATTACTTCTGCTATCGACTTTTTTCTAGTTAGTGGTGATGGTTGCCGTGCGCAAGTTGATGGAAAAATTTTTTACCAAAACGGACTTGAAATACCTGGATGATCCAATGCCAGACTTCCATCTGAGAAAGAAAGAGGATCTAAAGAGAAGACAGAGCGAAGTTAGATTTTTTGCGACCTTCTCGCTATAATCTTAATATCATAACAGGGAGAGCCAGTGGACATCGAGATAGAAGAAAATCAAGCCACTATCCATGCTGTAAAAACTGAAGCTCATCTGCATATTCCAATGGCTAGCGGAAATGTCATCAAAATTCCACTCGCAGCCATTCAGGAACCTAGCCATTCAATCAACATGACCAAAGAAGTCAGAGTGGAATAGAGAATGTCATGCTGATTTGCAACGTTGCTACTTCAGGTGAACAGCAGTGGAATGTGGAAACATATAAGTTCGTGCGACTCCAAAAACTCTCTCAACAAAGACATGCCGAAAAGCCTGTAAGTTTTAAATTATTTCTGTATGTGGAATCTGAGGGAGAAGTCTTGAGCAACTGTAAAGCGGCAGTTCGTACATTCGTGCCGTAGAATCGGCTACAAATTAAGCGCTCTGTACTTTTTCCGAGCAGTTTTTGTACTTAAAAGCAGTGGCTCGGCATTTGACCTAGAAATATTTTCGCTTATCTTGGGTTACTCGAGGCGCTGATTCCGAGAATCTACCCCAGAGAGCTCGAAAATGGCGATTACTAGCATTAACAAAATACGTGCACATTTTTATAGCCCTATAAGAACTTCCAAAATTTTCACGACCCATTTCCGGGGAGGGGGGGGGGGGGGGAGGACGAACACCTCCTCCCTGAAAACGGGTCGCGAAATTTTTGAAGCACGGTTCCAGGATCCAGTCACCTTTTCGTTACTTCTGCGAGTCCGACGTCACCGTCTAAAGATTCACGCGTGGCATTCAACATCTTACTGCGAGAAAGAAAGTGGATAACTTCAAGAACAATCTTCCAGAAGAACAAGCGGAGATTTTCTGAACTACTTCAATATGCCTGCTAAATATGCTCAAGCTTTTTACCATTATCATCGCTGCTCACATATCAAAGAACTGGATACAGCCGAACCCCAAGAACAAGCTAGATTTCACAAGGGATCCGGCTGCATGGACTACATCGAGACGGTTACAGAAACCATAGAAGTCTGCAGGGAGTACTGACATGGAAGTCTGCAGGGAGTACCGACAGCATTCCAATTTTCGTCGCGTACGAGAAAACTGACAGCGTCGATTATCTGCGATGGTCCATCAAGGACTGGGCCCTCCTTAAAGGCACCGTTTACCCTAAGCTGAGGGTGTTGAGCTTTTGGCAGCATATAATAGTAGAGCCCCCTAATAATCCAATGCCCAAGTCGCGGCGCAAAATGCCGCTTCGGAATAGCGAAGATGCACGAGGACCCCATTCATGCCCGCCCTCTCCCATCCGTGCCCGCCCATTTGTGCGCGCCCATCCAATCACCGTTCCGGAAAGCCGGCCTGTAGATTCTCCGGGACGGGGACTGTCTGGGTTTTCGCGCATTCTCGACTTCATATTCGGAATTAGGGACATGAGAAGGCCCCGAAACGACAAAAACGTGGAAGTCAATGTGGGTGGACGGTGCCTTTGAGTGAGCAATAGGCCGAGTTACAAAAATTGTACAACGACGATGCAGCTATTTCATCCCCCCTCCCTTCATCGCAATTGGAAAGAGAGAAGGCCTTACAATGTCGCTGTTCACCGCCGCCTTGCAGTAGGTAATGAACTCACTAGACTGGGAGGAGAGAGACACGAGTTGATGGGAGATTTCTCGCAACTTCGTTTTGCGAACGACACCGTTCTCTACGAGCAATTTACACTGAAGCGGAAACAATGCTGAAGGAACTAAACGAAGTATTAAAGAAGGCTGGAATGAACTGGAAGAAGACTCAGTTCATGAAGAACGCCCTTTGCGAAGATGGGGAAATGGTATTGAAAGACACCTCAATCATGAACACGTCTTCTTACGTGTAAATATCTTGGGCGTTTGATGTAAGTGGAGAACGATTTGAAAACTCAACAAGAGAACATGAACAGCCTAGGCCGCCTTGGGCCTCTAGAGGAAGCCAACCATTTGAGGTTCCAAAGCTCCGAGCGCACCTGTTCGACTCGACCGCTCTTTCTGGGGTCTCAGCTGCGAAAAAGAGCGCTCGACTTGTTTGCTGGCTGACACTGCAGCCATGTCGTAAGCTCTACGGACCTAGAGAGCGCTGGGCGGAGATGCTCCTTGAACAGATGGTGCAGCTGAGAAAATAGCTTGATTTGACTTCTGCGCTTGAAACCAGGGCTCGGCACGAGGTGGCTTACAAGCAAGCTGGATATCGTTTTTGGGACGAAAAGCAAAGGGGGTTTCGTTTTTGTGACCGAAGAGACACGGAAAATTGGCGACGGCGACCTTTTTTTTTAGTCGACGTTTCGTTTTTTGGGGGATTTTGGGGAATTTTCAGGTTTTAGAGGAAATTTGGTTGAGGGTCAAAGGGGACTTCGTAAAAATTCCCCGGCTATTCGGCTATCCGTGCCTGATCTGAACATCTGAGACGTGAATTCTGCTCAAACTCCGCCTGTAGGGTTCACTGACATTGATCACGAATACAACGCTCTTTTCAGAAAAAAGCCATCTTTGTAATCACGTGGGTATACAATAAGAGGCCGGAATCTCGAATTTGCTTGAAGGCAGTGTCCGGGCCAAAACTCGATTTTTAGAAAATCCACTTACCGGGGGTTATCCGCAACGCTGAGTTTGAAAATCCACATTAGAAAGCGCAACGGCAGAACATCCGTTTTTCAAGACCTTACAATTCGAAATTCGACGTCCCTGCTAGGGCAGGGCCGCAGAGTCGCTGCGGGACCCTACAATTTTAACTTTGGCGGCATGCGCACCCTGCCGCATAGCACGAACTCAAACAGGTCGGAGGACCCCGCCCCGAGGCGTAAGTTTTCCCACTTTCCGATCCTTTTTCGTGCTTTAGGTCGAACATTATAACTTCGCTCTTGCGCGATGCTGTGTTCGAGCGGGGGCTACTTTCGCATGATAGTGAAATTCCAAACCCCCCATTTTGTCCGGACACTGCCTTTAAAGGCAGTGTCCGGACAAAAACTCGATTTTGAAATTTTGTGCTTACTTGGGCCTATTCGCTACGCTGAATCCGAAAACGCACGTTGTAGAGCGCGAAAATGGCGAAAAACGGCTCTAACAGAAGAGGGAAATGAGCAGGTGGGCGGGGTTCTCCCCACTGCGAATTCACGTTCCCGGCTTCCGGAGCGACCTTCTCCCTTCCGGTTTTAAGTCAATCATTCGCACTTGATTGGTAGCGATGTTAGGACGGCTAGCGGAATCGAGAAAATCGCTCCGGGAGCTGGGAGCGTGAAATCGCACTGGGGAAAGCCCCGCCCACCTGCTGATTTCCCTCCTGTGTTAGAGCCCTTTTTCGCCGTTTTCGCGATTTCCAATGTGGATTTTCGGATTCAGCATGGCGAATAGGCCAATGAGCACAAAGTCTCAAAATCGAGTTTTTGCCCGGACACTGCCTTTAAAGGCAGCGTCCAGGCACATCCGGACCTATGGGGGTTTTCGCGGAAAGTATTTTTGGGGCTCTAACTAAGGCACTGCCCAAACGGCAGCGCAGGTGACTCATTAACGGCTAAGATATACGCCTCCAAACTGGACCCCAGGATTGTATTCGCACGGATTCATGGCAGTTTCGCGCGAGGACCCACGCTTTGCGCCATGAATTTATGCGAAATACTATACTATTATACTAAAGTGGCGTACCAAGGATTTCGGCTCGGGGGGGGGGGCGCGACAAAAATTGTTTTCCGATGAAGGTACGTGCCTCAGCCGCACTCCCAGAAATTTTTTGGTGTGCTCCCTAAAATTTTCGCGGGCTCAGAACCCCGAAATTTCAGAAAAAGAGGGAGTAGCGTCAGCCACGCCCCCGAAAAAAATTTTTTTATAGGGCTAAAATGAATTTTCAAAAATTTTAAAAAATATTTTAATTATTTACAAGTACAAACAAGTCACTTGCGCATTTTTATAACTCATGTAAGTAACTTTCAAAATTTCGCGACCCATCGTCGGGGGGGGGGGGGCTCGGTAGGCCACTGTTATACTATACTATTCCCCTCGAAACTGGATCCTGGTGTCCAGTTTCGAGGGGAATATCTCAGCCGTTAGAGCGCTATCTGAGCTGCCGTTGTGGAGTGGCTCAGTTAGACCCAAAATTAAGTGATCCCCATGTGTCCAGACTTGCCTGGACGCTGCCTTCAAGAGGTTGTCTATGGGGGTTCTCGCTATGGTTATTATAGGGGCCTGCGTGATCGCCAGAGTCGGACGTGCGTACGGCCATTGCGCCGCACACGTCCGATGTCAGTGAGGCAGGTGCCAGACTTGTCCTGTTCAACCGGTTCGTCCGGTTCACTCATTCGCTATTGGTCAAATCAACGCACTGACCAATACAGAGGGGGTGAACCGAATGAAGCTGTTGAACAGGGTAAGTCTGGCACCTATCTGAGTCATGGGACAGACATCGGACGTGCGCGGCGCAATGGCCGTACGCACGTCCGACACTCGCGATCATACAGGCCCTAATAAATATCACGACATGGTCTATCTTTTGTCATGCCATTTCAAGAAAATGATGAGTTTGCAAACGCCGTAACTCCATTAATCCTTTTTCTTACAATATCGATATCATAGTTGTAATCAGCCCACTAATGATCTTCAATCAAATCCGAGATTTGTCGGAAGTTGTCCGCACATACCTTATACCTACCATAATCAGGAAATGGTGCTACCGTGTGTATGCGATATGATATTCTCAGTCAAGTGCTCAATGCTCATTGATCCCAATAGAGCAAACTCTAGCCCAATCTGTTATTTTGACTTTATTGAATTCCACCATAGTCACAGAAAATGGCATTTTTCTGCGGAGAGCGTTGAGTTCGTAATCTGCATGTCAAATCACCGGGAAGTTTGAGCAGAATCCCGATCATCAGATTTTACGGATAGAGTATAGCCAATAGCTTTTTTGTACTTTGAAGTAAGAATAACGTTCTTGCTGTACACTCTATTTACTGGAAGTGGCTGATGGAGGGCGGAGCTCCGATCGCTAATTAACCCACTGATGACGATGCCTAATTTTGCGTGGCGACACTGTAGGACGATGCGATTTTGCAATACTTTCGGCATAGGGAGATTTTGCGGTTATTTACGACAAGGTTCTTTTGTAAACAACTATAAACATTTTTTGAACGACGGAGCCTACAGCTCCCAAGAATGCAAAAAATTGGAAAAATCATTAATTTATGGAAGGAATACTAGGCCTGTAAAGGATTGTGCTTTTTCGTACCTCTTGAGCATGCTGAGTCCGAAACCAGGCCTAAAATTGAACGAAAATCTCAATCTGTTGAGTTTTGGATGCCCTTCGGAATCCTCAGTAGAGAGAACCCTTGCGCCTGCCGGTCAGCCGCAGGCCAGCTGCGGGCCCATCGCAAGGCAGAGACGTAGAGGAACGCTGTTTCATTTGGCAATCGATTTTTTGACCTTAGCGCTTGCTAGGAGAAATCACTGAGTAGGCGGGGTGAACGTACCGCCCACTCATTAGGGAGAAGCCAACATGGCGAATCCGCCTTCCGAAGGATTTTCGAAGCGATTTTCCCGCTTTAGAAGCAACTTCAAGCAGGCGAGTTGGGCAGCTACACAGTTGAGGAACCCCAACTGTTAGGCATCGGAATCATAGATCTCATTTTGGGTGGACGGTGCTTTTAAGCCCGAATAGTGATTGCAGAGCACGCTCGCGAGAGAGAGATGAAGAGTCTAAACTCCATCCACAACCCGTCACTCCCAACAAGAGTACAAATGCAATTTTAGGGAATTCTTTCAACTGAAAAACAGATTTTAGCTTCCTCAAGTAATTTGAGAGGAAACAGAGTGCAGGGACGAAGCACTCATTACTACAACAAGCACGCTGGGTAGCGCTCGCTCAACTACCTGTATGCTGGGTTTATAAAAAGTCTGAAGAGCGATCTGCCGAAACGTCAGCCAGTAAATTGTTGTTATCAATCTCGAGTGGCTTACAATCACAATAATAAGAAACACTCATTACTACAGCAAAAACGCAACGAATACTTCCGTCGGCTCTTCGTAATTGGCACCTCGAACGCTCATAGTTTACTAGCCAAGTTCTTAGCTAAAAAATGCAGTTGCGAATGGCCGCTGGTATTTGCATCCTTCTTTTGTAAGTAAGAAAAGAGCTACAGTTTGTTTCATTCCAAAGTAGGTAGATGCACTTCATATGCGGCTGTGCGTCCGCATCGCTGGAGGCTTTGCGAGCGCACAGCGCTACCATTTTGCCAAGCAAAGGAGACAAGAATGAAGAAACGCATACATGGGTTCTTTGCATGACATGCTGTGATTGCGAAACGGCGCAAACCGTTGCGAAGCAGACGCCCGCCAATCCCCGCCTAGACTGGGTTGAAGCGTACTGTATTAGGTTTTCCGTGAGCAGCCCGCAATTGTACGGGTTTTATTTCTTTTTCTGTAATAAGATACATCCTAGCGTGTAAAAACGCAACCTTTGCTGGGCCATGATCTGCCAAATAGCATAGGCACTAAGAGGAGCGATAAAAATTTTGCTGCATCGCTTAGTCTGAGTTCTGAAGCATTGACTCGCGTTAATTTATCGTATTTTGCAGCCAAAACGATGCCCCATTGGAGACTCCCGAGGAAGACGAAGACGCAATCATGATTAAAGTGAGTCTGTCATTCTTGATGATTTGTGTTGTCTTTAACATAAATATTGGCTTAGTTCAGAGAGAATAAGTGAAACACTGCGGTTAGTGGTGCGAAAATGAGTGCCAATGTTGTGACCTAGTCGGTGGTTGAAGTAGTGATGGTTCCATGCATCTTGCATCTCTTCCGCTTTCTTCTCTTGTTGTTTCGTTGTCGATAGTCTCTTCGTTCCCAGCGCGACCATTCTGGCGAACCCTGCATGCGTCGATGCATTCCAGCATATACCGTTTGGCTTTTGAGAATCGATAGGGTATTAACACTTATATATAGCAGTGCAAAGTGTGGGTGATGCTGGCTGATTAGAGCAATGGCCGTCCTTAAGAAATACAGTGCGCTTGACACCAGTCATAATTCCGAGACTACTTCCATTCTTTGTAAAATCGGGGTCTATCCCGCCTTAGATAACTCTCAAAATATCAAAATCTCTACAGCTAACCAAACCTTGCTTAGGGGAATTAATTGCCGACCACAAATAATATCAACTATACGATTATGAGAACTCTCCGTAACTCTGCAGCTACTCGCTAATATATAGGTGCAGTATGATTTCCCTGAAACCTAAGAAAATTTATGTGATGTGACGCATGTTTTCAAAACGAGTTAGTTCGCTTGAAACAAAATTCGCTTATAATGCTTGTTTTGAATTCTCGTCGCAATGAAATCTGTTTTTAGTTATGATTAGGGTTCTAAAACTTACTTTTTCGATAAAACATACAGGGTGTCCCAAAAAAATGTGCCTACTGTTTGATTGTAAATAACTCTCTTGTAATGGAGTGTTTCGAGAAGCCTTAAGTACCGTTTTGTAGAGCGAGGTTAAACTTAGACTTACACTATGGAGCGAATCGGCGATCGCTTTTCATTACAGTAGGATTACGGTATGAACTTCGACAAGGATTTTAGGCACTTGGAGGCTATATTCTGCCTCGAAACAAGTCCAAAGAAGCCAAAAACTGTTACATTACGGTAATGAGAGCCGCTGATTTCGAATTTGAAATTCGCATTTTACTGTGAGGCTTCTTTCCTAAGTTATCCCCGGTAAATCGTAATAATTCAATTCCCAGCATTTGTCCGAAATGTAATTACACCGTCAAAAAAGCTGAAAACGCTCGTAAAAAGTTGTGTAGTGGAATCAGCATGTTCGAGAACCCTAGTACACGATTTTTCGGATTTTTTGAAAAAAATTTTGTTAGATGGTATATTTCCCATTGGCTCCATATGCTGAAAATTCTTACCGTAATCCTACGGTGATGAAGAGCGATCGATGATTCGCTCCATACTGTAAATCTAAGTTCAACCTCGCTCTACAAAAAGGTACCTAAGGCATTTCGAAACACTTCATTACAAGAGAGTTATTCACAATCAAACAGTAGGCACATTTTTTTGGGACACCCTGTATAATGGTGTTTCATTTCATAAGCTGAATTTTTTTGAAACTGAACTTGAGAGTGCACATCAAAGCATATTCAATATGGTAACAGATGTAAATAGAGAAGAACACTTTTCCAAGCATTTACGAAACAATTTCCTCATACCTGCAATGAAAAATCATTTTGGACAAGCCGAATAGGAACAAATAACTGAAACACATTAGAAAGAGCTTGCGAACTAATTCTGTAATGAAAAATGATCTGAAAACTGATTTTCAATTCAACTGAAATTTTGAAATCTACTGTTATCCAAATTGCAACCAACTGAAGAAGCATGAGCGAAGTATTAGAGAGTTTTCTAATAGCTGCAACGCATTCCTAGGCTAATTAACAGGGGGCGGAGCGACCAGCGCACCGCATATGGTACCCAGCTGGCGGCTGGCACAGGCTATCGTTCATCTTGACCGCCACCCCTCGCTACCGCAGCGAGGGATGAGGTGTGCCACCAATTTTCCGAATAAGCTTCCCCTACAAAAATTCAGCGAACTCTGAAGTTTTGGCCTCTTATCCTGCAAATGAATTTCGTATCAAGCATATCCGATAATCCCAAGTGCAAAGTTGAAGCGAAATTCAAAAAAGGAGTTGTCGGTTATTATAATATTTTTTGCAACAACTTTTAGAAAAAACATCGGAATATCAAGAAGGTAACAGAATATCGTACATATCATTTACTGACTCAATGACCATGCAAAGCTAGCAGAATAAACCTTAATTCTTTTTGAGATTTTGAATTAGCACTTCAGTTCGATAAGTCTTATTTAGTGCGGATGACCCTACCTGCATGCAATCTTCTAGTTCCCACATTTTGGGCAGTATAGGATCTCACAATGGGATACTAGAGAGACCATTGGGTTTGGTTATAAAAATTTCCACTTTATGACTTTCTATCTTGATTAGTCAAGCTCATTTTCTTTGTTACCTATCTCAGCATCTATACAATCCTCTGCTATTCATGCTTATGATTTAGAAGTTTTTTGGCCCTAATCTTGCTCTCAAGAGTTTTGCGAGTCTGGTAATACCGACTCCTGAAAAGCGCTCTCTTGAAACACGTTTGCTTTAGCCTGCCTTTTGTGCGTGCATATCCTGAAGCGATCATTATATCTACACCTAATTGCGATTGTTGATGGATAAGGGCTTGAAGTGAGCCAACTGTTGATTTATCTTTGGTGCTTTTGTTTCCTATGAGAACTTTTGTCTATAGCGCGTCTAACCTCTCCCCTGAACAATATTTTCGTTGCCAATGGCTACAGGTATTTCTACCTCTTTGGATGCTAGTAAGCATAGGTTTAGATTCACGTATTCATTTTGGATATAATCTTCTCTACCTTATTTCCATTCGCAACGCAGTAAATGTAAACCGATTTCCCTGCTCAGACACTCGCACCAGCCGGCGGCGTTCCACCCGGCCGGTCCGTCACCGACATTTCGGCCGGAACGATCGCCAACAGGCCGCCAGCCGGTACCCGTACGGCCGCCGGCCGGTACCCGTACGGCCGCCGGCCGGCATGCGTCTGTGGCGCAACAAAATAGCACTGGGCCACAGTATTTTTTCTTTCTACCTAGCTTTCATTCAGCTCTGTAACCTCAATATGGGATGGTACGAATCTATAACAACATATTTATTACAGCCAAAAGGTACAGTGCAAAGAGACATTAAACAAACAACACGTTGACACATTGTACACATATGAAAAATACATTCAAAACTAAAAAGCAAGTGACTTTCCATATATATTAGGTTGTCCAGAAAGTTTTGTCGGTTTCTTTCATCGCCCACGAAAACTCACAGAACATCAGTCCATGAACGTTCTAGGTATCATTTGATTTAAATTTTCATCCTCTTTCTTACAGCTATATTCGCTCTTTGACCTACCCTGTCTTTGCAACGTTATCGCCATGGCTTTTTGAGCAGCTCAACAGTAACGCCAAACCTTTCCTGAATTTTAAAAATTTCTATCCTGATAATTCTAAGGAGCGCTGGTAACTGTTATGTAGAGCAAAGCTTTGGCTACATTGTATCCATTTTAGATTACTTGGGTCACGTTTATCAAGTCCGTTATAATTATTTATTCAATAAAAACCGCGGCTTTTTGATTACGTTTGCCACGTAAAAGTACTGGAAATTTCAAAAAACTGCTTTTTTAAAGCAAGTCAAACTGGGTAATGTTGCATAAGTAGTGTTCAATAAGAATTATGTTGCAATTCGCAGAAACTTCAGAAGTTTTCATGTTTTTGCTGCAGTTGCGTGTTTCATGACTTTGCTAAAAATCGAGACCTTCGAAGAAATAATTTTTTGCAGCAAAAATCAGCAGATTAGTGGAATCTAAAAGTGTCTCTTGTAGTCCAGGAACTGCTCTATTTAACCCTTACTTAATCCTTTCCGAAACTTTGTAATGAAATTCCCAAAAATTAGCCAAACTTTGAGCAGACAAAAATGACGGGTGAAGAATTTCAGCAATTATCAAAGAAAGCATACAGGGTGGTTCGAAAATGTAACCGTAAGAAAAAGAAGGAAAAGATGCATCGAATACACGCTAAAGCTCATTCAGATCTTCATTGTGCGTGGTCTTATAGTGGTCTGAAAAAACCGACAAAACTTTCGGGACGACCTAATACATTCAAAACCAAGAAGCAAGTGACTTTCCATATATACGATAATATCATTTGATGCAATTGGTTCGCATATCTTTGGACAACCTTTCCGGATTGGCTAAATTACATAATTTTGTTTTGTACTTCTGAATGCCACATTCAACCATTGATATGCCGCATCTGATAACCTGTAAATGAAATAAACTATTGACAATTTTCAACTTATACTAGAACTTACAGCTATGCATAGAGTAGCGATAACGTCTGTTAGCAGAGCAAATCAAAACATATCGTTCACAGAAGATGGTTAGAAATGATCGTATCGGTCCCTAGAAAATACTGGGTAATTTCAATCAAATGTTAGTCAGGGAAAACTTACATCTTTTGGATCGAGCAGCCGTAAGCATCAGGTTAGCAGAAATGCGGTAGTATATCACATAGTGACTTAGCAGAAACCAACAGATCAACGATCTCTAGATGAATTAGAATACTCAGCAAAGCAGGAATGGTCCACAATTCGCAGCATTGAGAATTACATAAATGAGCATTCATTAAAAGCCATATCGTATTCACGAATAACAGTGTATTGACAGCGGTCAACCATACATAGTAGTTCCATCATAAAAGCAAGAACCCAAACACAATGTATTGCAGGTGTCTCCTAAAAACTTGTGACGTCTAATTTGTACTTCATTAGTTCGTACCCAAAAGGTGATGCGACACTTACCTAGATCACGTCACAGCAAATAGGCATGAACTCACTGGCGTTCGGCTCTTTCGCCATTCAAATCAAAATAAGCCATAATATAGAAAGAAGAGATAGCGAACATCATGGAGTTTGATCAAATCTGAAAAGGAATGAATGGAATGAACGGAATCATGACGGACAAAGAAATGACGCAACCGAAGTAGAAAACCCAAATACTAACAAAGGAAAATTAATAAAAAAAAAGTTTTCTTCTTAGCAGACACAAGCGCCCAATGTTTGAAATTATTTTCGTACTGTAAGCGCAATCTTGTGCTCTTTCCGAACTTTTGCACAGTGGAACGGCCGCCGGCCGGCATTATTTACTCGTCCGGTGGCCGGCCGGCGTTTGGCTCCGCCCAAAATGATGGAACGGCCGCCAGCCGGAAGGCCGTCGTCGAACGGTCGCCGGCCGGTGCGAGTGTCTGAGTGGTTCAAAGCGCTTTTGGCGATGCAAACTGTCATTGCAGACATACCCTTTGATTCAACGGGGTTGGCGGCTGGAAGGCGGAGCTTTGAGGCCTAATCAAGGCTAGAGAATGATCAGAGAGCATTGAGTTTTGAGTGATATGTCCATTTTAGATTTCTTCATTGATCAACTTGCATACATTTATACTCTTGGCCTTTGCCTTTTTCTCTTTCAATCTGCTTTCGTACTTCTATGATTTTCATTTGTGTAGCCGCTATCACAACCGGGCGTGTCAATCATCTATTCTTACATGTCAGTTCTGAGTATCTTGAATTTGTTTAAGAGTGCAACCCGCTTTGCAACGCTTTCCAGGCGGAATAGTTTCTAAAGTGCCCTTCTAGTAATACTGGTTTTATGGAAGTGCTTTCAAATCATGTTTAGAGCCATTTTTTTTGCAAGGGTAACTCAAATTAGTTAATTAGAGAAGAGCCACAAAATTTCCCAAGATCTCAGTCGCCATTTGAACCAATTAAGCATTGAACAAGCGAGCCTTAACTGAGGGTGAAAGCTTTCAGTAAGGAAGTCTGTTATAAATCATACGAGAAAGTAGAATAGCTATGTGCATATTAGTGCATCTTTCGTCTCGCAAAGTTGTCCAAATGGGGTTAACATTACTAAGAAAATCTCTGTTCCATCACGAAGGCAGGCAAAGGGGTTGGTCGTGCTTTGCGGCCAGCTTTCGCTTACACCATAGTTGCAAAAGTCATCGCGAAAGCGTGAATTTTTTTGAACTTTTGCACATACTAATGCATTCTGTTAGAATCTACTGTAACACTAATTGTTCTGCCATCACCTGCTATCCTATTTACTGGTTTATTTTATAAAGAAAAAATGTAATAAGGTCTGGAAATGATCTAAAAGCTGTTTAGTTTTAGCGGAATAGGTTTTTCTTACCCCTGTATCCTTTGCGCTTTACAAAGAGGAACCACCAGGCTACTTTGCGCTGAAATTTTGGGCTACCGAAGCACGCCAAAAAATTAAGGAATTTGCAGTTCGATGAAGTAAAGCAAGCTTGACAAGATGACAGTCGGAGATCCGCATGATTCTTGATCCATTGGAAGTTTGAAGCCAAGTCAATCAATATTCTATGACTCAGATTTGGATCTGCGCTTCAAAAAATTTTACGATTTCAACTTGCTCACGCAAAAGCAGTTTCCAACGTTTAGGACACTCGAAAATTCGTGACCATGCGCGACGGCGCGCTACACGCACGCATACCCGGCAACCGCTATTTTCTTGGTTTTCATCTTTACTCGTATGGTTTTTCTGATTACATATGATAGCAGTCAAACACTGAAACAAACTGAACTGGGAGTTGAGGTGATGCCTTTTTGTATGAGTGTTTTCTGCTCCTGTGGGCGCAAAGACCGCAGTTAAACCCATCGTGACGATCTTATAAATGACCTATACACACAGTTGCTGTTATTATCCGCTGCTAGAACTCATGAAACAAAACAAGCAATACGAATAAACAGGGTGTCACAAAAGCATTATATGTATCAATATTTATACATTGTTTGATTGTGAATAATCTTGCTCCAATGTATTAGGTTGCCCGAAAGTTCTGTCGTTTCATTTTTGAAAACTTGTAACCTTTTGCTGTTCAATGGATTTGTGCCTTTCTAATTTCATTAGAAAGAAGAAGTCATCCTCTTTGAAGGCTTGCTTCGATGAGTTTCCACTATACATTCGTTGCAGAGATAAAAATGGAAAAGAAGACCACTTGAGCTATTTTAAGCTAGGTCGCCAAAAGTCTGGAACGCCGCAGAAAAATTTGAAATTATTAATTTATAAGTTTTATGACATATTCTTTGCGTTTGAGAAAAAATCGTGCTGTTTGGACATTTCAGTGAAACATGATTTTCGAGAGAAGTGACAACTTAATCCTTTTTGGCGTTTTCCATTGTAAACTCGAAAATTATAACTTTTTACAGAGAGGTCCAAAAAGCACTATTTTTCTCACATGCTGAGAATAGGTCATAAAACTTCTATAATGCAACTTCAGATTTTTCTGCGGCGTTCCAGACTTTTGGCAACCAAACTCAAAATGGTCAAAGCTCAAGTGGTCTTCTTTTTCCACTTTTATCTCTGCAATGAATGCATAGTAAAAGCTCGTCGAAGCACGCGTACAAGGAAAAAGACTTCTTTATTCTAATGAAATCAGAAAGACACAAATCCGTTAAAATTACAATTTTTTAAAAATGGAAAGACAAAACTTTCGGGACAATCTAATATAACGTCGCTTTTTGGTACCGTTCCATAAAGATATGAGTCTTTTACCAACCTCTTTTCGTCACCGTGAAATGGTTAACCTCCAGCATACAGTACCACTATACATTGGACAATTTCAAAATCCAAACGATATATAAAAAGTTGTCTGCTTGAGCTTCAACTTTGTACTTGATCTGCTCAACTTTTCAAAGTCCCCGTTTTTGAAATGATTAGTAAGCTCAGAACCTCTTCTTATGGTATTGGGCGATTGGTCCCAAACTCGCCGCTACTGACAAGGGAAGTCACTTAACTTAGGTCGGGCTTTTGAAATGAGACACATATATTTAGAATCATCTCGGAACGCTGATTCCAAATAAGCTATCCTTAGCTGCGAAGCGTTTCTCGAAGCGAGTTATGAGTTTTTTAGTATGTGTCATTGACATACAACTGAATATGGAAAGAAGGTTTTTGGACGAAAATCTGCCCAAAAAGTGATGGAAAATCAAAATAACATCAAATTGAGTCATTTGGCTTTGATAGGGTATAATATGCATTTGAACCACTACCTAGATGATGATACCGTAGCATTTTCCCCAAACTTTCATGAATTGGATGACGCTCTCGCCTGTTGCGGGCACTTTTTAATTATGGGCCTAACAGCGAGTGGGAGATTGATAATTACCGCCCCAGGTTTCAACGGTGAACGGGACGAGGGGGTGTTCGTTTAGGCAGGTAAGTGTACGAGGATGGGGGGGAGGGGGGAGGGAAGGGAGAGATTCATTTTTGGAGAACGTGTGTCTAACTTCACGTTTGACCTTTATTATACTTACTCAAGGGTTTACAGTGGGAGAAGCAAAAATTGCGGGTGATCATTGTGCAGAGTTTGCTTCGCTCTGTTGAGTAGTGCCCCATACATTTTTTGGTTTCGCCTTTTTGCAGTGCGTAAAGAAACGACATCCCTTTTTCAGCCCAGTATCTGAACAAAGTGATTTGCATAAGTAATATTCGGCTGTGTAACACAGTACACTTTTCCTCTTTGAAGCGATCGTAGCAAAATGCAGCTCCTTTTGACATCGTGACAATTGTTCAGTGGTGAATTTTGGTATAGCTACAGAGCTGTGGCAGCATCACCTTGCGTTGTAATTCTATACTACAAATATTCTTAGTTCACTTATGTTGCAAATTTGCAGGTCATTCGTCCGTCTCCGCATGGATCGTCTACAAATCTCTCTGAAAGTCAACCTCTTCTCAAAGGCAAGGATGACGACAAAACTCCTCCAGTTTAGGCTATGATCAGTAGATTGACTAATTAAGGATCCTTTATTTAGCACCAGTTCACGTTGTTTGTTTGCCTTACTTGTTTACTACTTTCATTGACGTGGGAGCATCTGAGTCGCGTTGCGAGTTATATGCAAGTTATTATTATAGCACGCAGACAGGTAGAAGACAACTATTTCGCCGAAAGGGGAGATTCCGTGCCGACATTTGCAGTAACCGCGCACCTCTAGTCATCACTCGTAGCTGTAGCTTATGGCAGCTGTCGGCAAAATCGGAAAGTATTGGCAACATATCGTCCCTGTTCCACGCAGATAGCGCCTTTGCGACCGATTGAAACCCCAGCCTTACCATGCGCGCTTGGGAAACCGCTATCGTTGGCGACTTAAAAGATGTTACTAATCCAACGCACGCAGATCTCGAGTGTGCAGACGCTAGCTGTTGCGCTGCTGTTGCACTCATTGATTGTTGCAAATTTTTCAAATCTTGCTTACCGAGAGTGCGCTTACGAAGGCTCATAAGCCATCTAGCAACACCGAATCGCGTGAGGTATGACCGATGCCTTGGGCTTACAGCACGTACATTCTCGCTGGGGAAGGAATTGTTTCTGGAGGAAATCTCAATATTTTCTTGCATTAGAGATCTTTTTCTCTGCTTCCATTTCCAAAGGCCTGTATTGCACTACCGTTAGCATGTTGAACAAAGCTTATTCGTGTGAGCTGTGAATTCGTTTTTTTTTTCGGAGTCCGGGGAATCGCCTTTCTAATTATTTATCTACCTAGAATATAAACATGAGAACGTTCGCAAAGATGTGCTTGATAGAAACAGCAGACGCCAAGAGATCAGACAATACAGTGAACTTTGTGGATATATGATAATAACTTTACATGTGCCAATGTTGAAACATGGGAGAGCCGCTGAAAAGCATAGGCAGTGCAAGTTCAGAACTCTAAGGCACCAAGATATCAAACTTCATGGTTCCCTAACTTTTCCTGGCGACGTTGCATATTACGGCGAAGACAGGCGTCAGATTATCCGCTTGGCCGCTTCATTCACTCCGTGATTGGTCAAGGCACTGATCTGACCAATAGCGAAGTGGATGAAAATTGAGGAAAGATTGAGCGGTTTGGGGAGAAGTCGTCGATAGCGTCCGCATAAAGCGCATTGTTCTGCGCGCGATATCTCACCTGTTGCAAGGACTTTGTCCCCGAAAGAAGCACTTGCCTTTTTTAAACGCGCTTTTCAAAAAGAAGCAAGAGCCAAAAGATCGCTCCCACGTTTTTGCAAAGCATCAAAGATTGAAATAATGCAACGCTATAGCATTTGTGTTCGCAACCTACTGTAACATGTTGCAATCGTGATCGCTCACGTTACCAAATTTGCACATTTGTTAACTAGATCTTGCTATCCTCATTTGACTTAGCTCAAAAGTTTCTAGCGTATATGTTCGGAATCACGTCAGCTGAACATCTGTTTCATATTCATGTTTCCTTTAGATAGTATTAAAGTGTTACTGTTTAGGTCTGTTTAGATGAGAGTCACTGTGACGTCCGAGTTATTGTTTTGTATTTGACACGTGCATCTTTCCACGTGCTTTACGCTAGGCATCTTCTTATTGCCGAGTTCGTGCACGTCTTGTCAACACCTACCCGCACAAAGTAGCGGGGTCTCGCTACATTTGTTCTCAGGGAGACTCGAAACCGCTTTGCACGCATCGTCAAAACAAGCTTGATCGTTTGGTTGACAAGTTTATACTCGTAACTGAGTCATTCAAGTTTTTTCACTACTTAAAACCTAGAAAGGACAAGTCAAGCTTTGTCAATTTGTGCAAAGCGGTTTCGAGTCTCCTAGTCTCAGCATAGATGATACATCTAAATGTTGGCAAGGACGGAGTTTGGCTGTGCCGCATTCGGCTCGTTCGGGATTGTATTAACTTATGAACGTGTCCCAATAGCCGATATTGTTTTAGTTTTAGCGTTGCTCTGACACAGCAGTATCGTGCAGATTTGTTTATCTAACTGGGAACTCGTGTTTATTTCTGTTGATCAACTTGCGAAGTTGTAATTCTAATTTAAATTGAGATACTGTGAATAAATAAGTATATGTCTATCTAAATCAGAGTCAAGCAAGAGATGTGGCACACGATCGCTGGTTACGACCCCCTCTTATTGCTGCCTCAATATAAGACCCCCTGATAGCAATTAACGGGCAAAATATCCATAATTAGCATGCCAATTAACTCCCTGTAGACGATGTTTAAGCGAATTCTGAAGTTTCAAGATACTGGGTCTTAACACTCTTAACCCATTGACGATGATGTGGACCACCGGTGGCCTATGCGCTTTTTGCTGCCAGGGACAATGTGGACCCCCGGTGGCCCACACCTCTCGCAAAGTCGTATTATTTGCAGGTTTAGTATTTTTTCCACATATGAATATTTTTTCCAGTTTTTTGAATTCTCAGGACCTATAGGGTCTGTCGTTCAAGAAAATGTTAATAGTTGTTTACAAAACAATGTTGCATTTCGTAAATAAGCACAAAACCTTCCCACACTGAAAGTGCTGTGCAAAATCGCGTCGTCCCACAGCGCCGCCGCGCAAAATTAGGCGTCGTCGTCAATGGGCTAAACAAGCTGTGGCTGCCACAGCTTTTTAGAGGTGGTGCCACACCCCATTAACTTGCCCGCAAACAGATCAAATAGCTGCGTTTTTTATATCGTGTTACTCGTGTTACTGCTTAACCTTCTTCTTTACATAGCAGATATTTCATATGAAAAAGTCTCTTCAAGAGCAAGATATAGATAGTCGTTCTTCCTTACCTATGCAAATGTAAAATACGGGTAAAATACTGCAGAAATATTGGGATACGGTAAATGCTAAGTCTGCGCTACTACAATTCGCTAGGGGAGGTGACAAGAATGTATATATTCGATAGCCTGAGCCTCGTAATCTACATCTCTTAAAATAGATTAAAGTGATTTGAGAATAATTGTTCTTCTCTAGCCTGAGATAATGAAAACGAAAAATGAAACGCACGAGATTTTGGCTTGCTCTTAATTCCTTAATTTGGAGGTCATTTGAAGTAGGTTTCCTAATGTGAGCAAAGAAATAGTAGTTCTTCGTATTGAGCGCAAAAAGAAGTAGTTAACTTACCTTTGAAACAGAGTAACATGTTTAAAAGACCATCTAACGACCTCACTAAGGTGGTCCTGTATTTGGAAATTTCAGAATTCGCTGAAACTTGGACCACGGGTTATTTTAGGCCCGTATGCACGTACATCTCCGCGGGGAGGGGAGGGGATCTGAGAGGGGAAGCGTCATATCTCGCTAATCTATATATCTTTCTTCTTCTTTCTCTGTCTTGCTTTTGAAGGTTCTCGTACATTGATACCTGCGCATAAACGGATGCCAGGTGCTACCATACAAAATAAGATAATCAATATTTCGTCTGATCCCTTGAGGATTCCCAGGGGATCATCTCACATTTTCAAAGTCATTTATCTTCCTGAAAACTCAATGAAAATGCTCTAAAATTGTACCGAGGGTATACTACAGCATTGCTAAACATGTTTATGATAGAAATGAGTGAAATCTCAAGATTTCAAAATCTTCGGTGAGCCGCTGCTCGCGAGCCAGGGATTTTCGAAAAAATCAAAATCTTCAGATTCCATTTCTTCTGTTGAAAACATGCTCAGCAATATCGTAAGAAATCTTCGATACAATTTTGCAACGTTTTCATTGGTTTTTCAGGAAGATAAATGAATTTGAAAATGTGAGGTGATCCCCTGGGGATCCCCAGGGGATCAGATAGTGAATATGTAATCTAGAAATAGTGAATATGTAATCTAGAAATAGTGAATATGTAATCTTGTATGGCAGTAACCTGGCATCCGTTAAGCGCAGGTATCTGTGTATGAGAAACTTCATAAACAAGATAGAGTAAGAAGGAGAAAGATACCCTCGATATCATCCCATATGTCTTCCCTCAACATGACGTGGAATACGTGGCTTGATGAGGCGCCGCCTCGCCTCGGGCTCGCGCCACGTTGCGAGCGCATCATTTGGCGCGACGTGGCGCTCAACACAACGTGGCGCAGGCTTTTCCACGTTCTTCTTGTTGCCACATCACGCCGAAAATGCGCACGCAACGTGGCGCAAGCCCGAGGCGAGGCGGCGCCTCATCAAGCCACGTATTCCACGTCATGTTGAGGGAAGACATATGGGATGATATCGAGGGTATATAGACTAGCGAGATATGACGCTTTCCCTGTCAGATCCCCTCCCCTCGGGGATGTACGTGCATACGGGCCTTACTTGCTAATTATGAAACGATGCTCTTATTTTTTCTAGATCTTTAATTATGCTTACTGTACGTATACGATAATGGGTCAAACATCAATGTATATTGCATGACGGGCCTATTTGACATTGTTAATGAATATCATGTTATGCGAACAGCGGACGCCTTGATAACGACCCCCCCCCTCCCTGATTCCTCGATAGGACTCCCCAAGCGTGGCATGGCACACCTCACGCTGGACCTTGGTCTAAATTCCTTTTTGAAGGAAGTCCCACAGTTTCTTATAGCTATAAAGTGGACTTAGACTGCTTGCCAATGACTTTCCGCGATTTCACATCATATCGTCTCCAGAACGAAATCACGCTTCGTTTCTGCATTTGCAAAACTGTTGATCTCACAAGGAAAGATATCATATGGTGGCAAACAGGAATGATATGCATATCATTAGATGCGTCTTGATGAGATGATTTCAAACTTATCCGTATCTGCTGAGCTCTTCTTTAGAAGAAGTTATTAGCGTTTGAATGTCCAAGTTTGGAAAACGTTCAATGCCACATCTTCAAGAACTACTTGTTCAATACATTTCATTATGTGTAAGTATATGTATCATTCCTTGTAGTCCATGCACTCAAAACCATGCCATTTAATCGCTCCCAACCTGGTTATCAAAGCACGTTACCCACCACCCAACAACTTCACATCTTTAGCCGCCCATAGCTTCTTCTAGATAAGCGCTTAGCAGATGAGAAAGGTAGATTTGGAATCAGCCATCAAGAAGCATCTAATGATATGTATATCATTTCGGTTCTACACTGCGACCTGGTATACTAACCTTGTCAGATGCCATGTTCATTCGGGTTATGGCATGTTTAGGATACCCACAAAGCGTAGTCTAATTTTTGGTGGACGAGTTTTACATCAATTCTTAAGCTTTTCTATGAGGGCACGACGAGCTTGTTTCTGTAGTCCAACTGGTGTAACGACAATGACGACAAAATATTGATAACGTGATTGCTATGGGCTCCTGACAAGTGGAACTGTCTGTAATGTTTGAGATGCACAGTTTGTATCGCAGTCGGAGTCAGTCGACAAAGTACATTCTATATCCGCTGATTAACATAGTGTTTTTGCTACACCATATTACTAATACAAGCTGCATTTGAAACATGACTGAAACAACGAAAATGTCGAAATGTGGAGGACTTTGTTCAATTAACCACAAGTGCACACAGAAAACGTCATACAAACCAATATCTTCTTGGAACAGATCACAGTAGTATCACTTGTGCGGCGGTGGACGAGCTGGCTGTTGCTTGGCGTTATTTGGATCCGAACCGAATACGGCTGTCATCAAAAGCTCAAACGGCTTTTTGCTTCCATGTATAGCAATAAGCTTTGTTTTACCTGGATGAGTAGGATGCCCATGATGTAGCTGAACTGACTTTCACCAACCATCATGATTTTCTCTTTAGCACATTGAGTGATTACCTAAAGGTAATGTCGTTACCCGTGATCTAATTTGGTCGGGGTACAGGCAGCGCGGCGAGTGCGAGCTGTAACAAACACGAAAGCAGTACAAGCGAAGTAAGGACCGCAGGCGAGGCTTTCGACGAATCGCATTCAGTCGTCACAGTCATGTAACCCATCATTTATAGGGGACTAGATGGCTTACCCGGCTCCGCCCGGCCCGTCATTATTTTATTCGTAATCAGCGTGATCGATTACCCCCTGTACCAACTCCCAGCCCCGTAGCTCAAATTTTGCAAAAAATCGATAAAATCGATATCGATCGATGACGAAAAGTAGCCTATGAGACCCGCCGGTGCCCGAAGTGTATGTGTGCCAAGTTTGGTCCGGATCGGTTCAGAAATGGAATTTTCTATTCGGAACATACGTACACACAGGCATACATGCATACAGACAGACAGACAAACAGACATTCAGCTTTATATATAAGACTAGCTGGCTTACCCGGCTCCGCCGTATGCTCCGAATAGAAAATTCCATTTTTCTTAACCGATCCGGACCAAACTTGGCACACTTACACTTCGGGCCCCGGTAGGTGTCACAGTCCACTTTTCGTTATCGATCGATGACGAAAAGTAGCCTATGACACCCGCCGGGGCCCGTAGTGTATGTGTGCCAAGTTTGGTCCGGATCGGTTCGGAAATGGAATTTTCTATTCGGAATATACAGTCGAGTAGATTTCCTGCTTAATATAGTGTCGCTGCAGACGCGACAACGCTGGAGCGTCAATAAATGCCTTGTGAGTTCCCGAGCTAGTGTTTTCCAGTGTTTTCTTTGCTAATTTCATGCTTTTTAGTTGATTCGTTGCTGATAAAGAGGAGAAGGGTAAGTTAAAAGTAGTTTCTGTTTTCTGAGAAGTTCTATCATCGCATATTCACAGATATCCACATGGAAGCAGTTCGCGTCAGCGTCTTGTCTATTTTTTGTCACTTCATGTCTTTTTCTTCTGTCACTTCTTTTTTTAAACCTCCTCCTTCTTGTGAGGCGTTTCTTTGAACGCTAGTTGGCTTGTCTTGCAGCAACTTCAGCTTTCATCCACAAGAAATAGCATTTTAATCAAGTACTTCATGTGATAAAGACAATAAGTCAATCGTAAAAACCCACTAGCGTTCAAGTAGTACCTCACAAGGAGAAAGAGACATGAAGTGACAAAAAAATAGACAAGACGCTGACGCGAACTGCTTCCATGTGGATATCTGCGAATATGCGATGATAGAACTTCTCAGAAAACAGAAACTACTCTCTAACTTACCCTTTTCTTCTTTATCAGCGACGAATCACCTGAAAAGCGTAGAATAAGCAAAGAAAACACTGGAAAACACTAGCTCGGGAACTCGTCAGGCAATTATTGACGCCCCAGCGTTGTCGCGTCTGCAGGGACACTATATTAAGCAGGAAATCCTCAGATACTTTCTCCGGCTGGTGACCGGGCGACGACGGCCTTCCGGCTGAGGGCCGCGCCATGTTTTGGGGCGGAGCCTAAAACCGGCCGAGGAGCGGGCTAGAAACTACCACCGGCTGGCTTCCGGTCGCGTCCGCAAAAGCGCGCGAAGGCGCACAAAATCATGAATACCGTCAGATTCAGTAGTGAGCATGCGATTTCATCATCACTACGCGCCTTCCAAGACCTTTTGATTCTTGTTTTTTCGTGATCATTTTTGTGGTACTGTGTCTTTCTTTACATGCTGTTCGTGTATTGTCATGTTTCATCGCTCATCTTTGTTTTCAGTTTCAGCAGACTAGGAAAGCTTCCATGTCGTTACTAAACTGTCATATTGTTTGTGCTCGAAAATGTTTACTGGTGTTTTCATGTGATTTCCCTTTGTTATTTGGTCATTTGGTCTGCTTCCATCCCCACGAAAAAGGAAGACCCTCATAGGTACATGTTTGACATTTCTTTATCGACCAGCATATCCTCAAACATTTTTTAGATTGGAGTGCGTTAGTTCACAAGTTGAAATGCTTGAGACTGCTAATGATGGAGTTTCCTGTGGTTGAGCTTGGATTATCTGCTTTGTCTGCTCCGGAGAACACTGTCTGTATAATAAGTGCTCTAACAGCTTGGTGGTTGGTTATTTATTGATGGTTGTCTGGAAAATAAGTGGACACATATGGAGATAAATAGTCTGTTCATCAGTGTTGTCCATGCATACTGCAACAGGTGAGCAATTTGTTTTTGTCTAATCTTCCTCTTTAGAATTGGAACTTGTAATGAATATATGGTTAATATGTAATGCGCATATGGATCTCTAATGCGGAAGAATAACATAACTTCAGCTATGCCGCAATGCTGCTGTAGTCTACTGCAGTTGGCTCTCATCTTCATAAGATCCCTATAATCTTTTATTGCAGGTACACGCGGCTAACTTCTTACTTTTTTGTGAGATATGTGCCACGAATCTCGGGAGCGAAGTCGTTTCTTCTAGCTTCAGTTTCTAAGCTCAAGCCTACATGCAGATTTGCTCACTGTTTGTGTCGTGCATCCCAGAATTGCCCATATAAGCCATCAACGTGCCTGTCTTTCGATCGTTTCAACGCGGACTCCAGCAAATAAGGCGCTTATCCGAAGCTGACTGTCGAAATGATCGAAAGACAGCCACGTTGAAGTTCAGATGGGGACAGTTTTGGAGAATGCACCATATGTAATGCAATATGTTCTTTATATTGTGTTTACACATGTTGTATGTTGTACATATGTTGAACATAATTCGTGTCTTCTCTGTTGTCCCTCTTGTAAATATTAAATAAAATATTATAAGAGATTTTTGTATAACACTATATGACTAGAATGATAGTATAGTCAACGAAGCTAAACCTGGCGGGTCGTGCCCCAATAATTCGCTGCGCTGGGAAGCCGGCTGGCGTCCGCGCCGTTTGCGTGCCAACACCGGCTGGCGGGCGGCCGGCGGCCGGCTCGCCCGGAATTGAGGTGTTGCCTCAGCCGGTCATCGCCCGGTCACCAGCCGGTAAAAGTATCTGAGTCTACTCGACTGTACGTACAGACAGACAGACAGACAGACAGACAGACATACAGACAGACATACAGACAAACAGACATTCAGCTTTATATATAAGATTCCAATCTGAGTGTCACGGTCGCTGCGGCTCAAATTTTTCGCGAGCCTCCTCGCTGGCCACTCAACGAGTTCCGAATTGTTCGGGCCATGGTCCTAATTCTCTACATCGGTGCCTGAAGATACAGCATCCGGTGAAGGCGAACGCGGCGAGAGATCCAAGCGGGATAGCTAGCGAGGATACCCGAGCCGATCCAGCCGTGACACTCAGATTGAATCCCCCTGCATTCTTGCTCACTGAGCGAAACCGACCGCTCAGTTTAGACCTCGTGGTGTTTCTCGTCGCGCGATTCGAGGATTGTCACATGCCTCTAGATCCACTAACGGTGAATAAATGCTGCGACAATTCTTGTAGTTGGGAAAAAACAACGTCTTTTATGTTCACTATGCCCTTACGATTACTCGATGAAACTAAAGCACTTCTGCATTGCAGGAGACTGAAGTTGTGCAAAGTGTGCCCATCTCATCAGAGTGTTCCTGGGAAGTTGACCTGCAAGCTCTCAGTTGCGGAGTCGGGTGCAGCAGCAGCATGAGTCACGCGCAGCCCAGCCGCCTAGCCTGAACGCTGCGCCGCGTTTGTGAACGTGTCTTCTGATCATTTTGCTACGCCCAAGCGTGTTAAAGGGCTCACGATTTGCAGTTGATAAAGAGAGGGGAAATAGTCATAGAAGACGTTCGCAACACGGTGCAAGACCAAGCGAGGCGGCCACGCGAGACCCGAGACACTGGTGCACCCGACACTGCATTTGAGATAGCGTTTAGGCCAGCGAGGAAGAAACGCTTCAACATAACGACTTTCGCACATTTGGCCCGATATGCGCGTATGCACGAAAACATTATGTGTGAGTCTTTCTGATGCTTATTCATAAAACATAAGAACTTCGTGAACATGTACATCACAGGATCTTCAAGGCACTGTCCACCTAGATTTTCGACTTCCACGTTTTTGTCGTTGCAGGGCCTTCTCATATCCCTGATTCCGAATACGAAGTCGAAAATGCGCGAAAACCCCGACAATTCCCCGTTTCGGAGAACCCACCCGGCTTTCCGGAACGGTGATTGGATGGGTGCGCACAAGTGGGCGGTCATGGATGGGGTCCTCGTGCATCTTCGCTATTCCGAAGCGATTTTCTCGCTTCCGAAGCCTTTGCGCCGCGACTTGGGCATTGGATTGATAGGGGGCCCTACTATTATATGCTGCCAAAAGCCTCTTTGTCCGCGGGCTCAGACATTCACGTGATTTAGTCGGTTTGGCAATACCTCGATTGGTTGTAAATCTCGTCGCACTTCCTCAATTTACCGGTTAAGGAATTTTGCTAACCACCGAGAAATACATACTACGCATTTGTAGTCTGAAAGTGTTGCATTTGCAGAACGGCCTTTTTTTCGAATAACACTACAACCTTGTCAAATATTCAAAGGTTTTTCGAAAAATCTAAGGTGGCTTTGACCGAAAAAAGTTTCCTTTGTCCACTCTACCCCCCCCCCCCCTCTTCCCCGATGAAATTGTTGGAATGGTGTTTTTACAAACTACTAATTCGGATGAGAATTTAGTTAGTCTGCGCTCTGCGACTCTTCTGTAATGCCTGGAATGTACCTCGCGCGATTGCTCCAAAATCGCGGCGATACGCGACTTGGCATTTGCCAAAGTCCGCAAATCTACCGCGCGAGATTCAAGTGCGTAGGCGTATAGTTTTCTAATCCTATGCTACATGCCAGATCTTGCTTACAGAGTTTGCGCATACGAAATATTATGAACAATCGTAGCAATTAGAAATCGCCCGGAGACGAGATATGACCGATCCGTGAAGCACTAACGAAATGGCTCCTTTGCCGTCTTTGACGTACCGGCGCAGGAGTATTAAAGTCTGGGGAGGCGCGCCAAAAGCAACATTAAAGCAAGGCAAAGCGGTGATATCTAGGGGTAGATTGCTGGGACACCGCGCTCGTTACTCAGCTTACCTGAAAATGTATGGTTAAAAATGCGACGTGAAAGAAGGACAAGAGGAAGATAGCCACAGAAAAATATCCAACCGGAAGCATTGCTTCAATAACCGCTTTATAATAAGTGTCACTCTCAAGTATTTCCATCTTACCAAACATAGTGCATAGAAAGGAAGAAACAGCTCCACCAATTGCAAAAAATGTACTCCTATCCATTTCAGCAAGTGGAGAGCGAATCAGTTCATTGTCCATCTGCAAATATTTACCGCCGAAAAAAGCTTTGCTATGTTTATCTCTTACCAATAAACTCAACATTAGGGGTGGAATGAAAAACACGGATGGAGCGATGCTAGTCAACGCTCCTCCCATTAAATGTCCCAACAGAATTCCAGTTGTCAAGCAGAATCCAAATAGACAAGTGCGTCGTTCGGTGTCGTCCATTGCTACAAGGTAAAAAGTACGGCACTGACTGCAGAGTTTTGTTGCACAAAAATTACTCTCAAGCAGTAGCTCGATATATTCGTTAGGCACACGCGATACTTGATCTGTCGATGCGATATGATGATCTACCGATCAAGAGATCGCGCATCGACCGCGCGGGCTCCATAGGCTATCCCATGGACGCCGCCGCCACTCGCTTCTTGAACCCCGCCGGAGGACGGTGAGGGGATATTTTTTTTTGTTCTTATTGTCTCGTGTTACTTTGTTGTTTTTCGTGTTCTTGCTGCGATTAGCCCGCAGTTTGTCGTGTTGCTGTTTTTTTTTTCATAAAAGTTTGTTTTTTTACTTGTGCTTCTCTCATCGGTCTCGGCCGATATTTATATCTTTCACACAAATTTACCACAGTCCACTTAATCCACTTGACCCACTTCATCCACTTCACTATTGGTTAGATCAGTGTACTGAAAATGCCAAGTGGCACAATTGGATCAAGTGAATCAAGTTCTCAGACAGCAGAATCCATCCGTATGACCGATTCGATAACGGCCGGAGTCTCCCGAGCGGCACGTACCGGACTCGTGCCCCGGATCCTACCGAGATTTGCCCCGCGGAAGTCTCCGAAAGCCTATTTTGCCCCGGAAACCTGCATTTTCACATATGGCGTACTATAACTAGCCCCAAATTAAGCTAGGTATACAGTAAGTATCCCTAATCGAGCTACAAAGCCCAATTTTAGTCGCCTTAACCAAACTACCTTTAGACACTTGATCCCCACTCTAAGCTAGTCTTTTTTTCGAAAAAAGGAAACACTACTAGATATAATACTGCTTGTTCGTACTAATAAAATAACAAACACAAGTTCTGACAATGAGTGAGATGAAAAAAGTATATGATAGGAACTCGTTGGAAGAGATCAAATGAAATGAGACGAAAAAATTTTCAAATATAAGAAATGGTGTCATAACAACAAATACAACATTGATTAGAGAAGGCAATGAAAGAGGACACAAAAGATATAAGACAGAAATAAACATTCAACAACTCAGAACACCTTAGAAGAGGTGAAGATAATAAGTGAAAACGGAGGCCGAGGAACTGAGGCGAGATCACTTTCCTTGGAGTGCAGAGACACTTCCTGTGAAACAGACAGGTGAAAGTAGGATTGACAGCCTAGACACATGACGGCATTAATTCAGGCGTACATATACGTCGACAACTCACCTTCTTAGGTGATTTTCAACTCCCTTGAGAGGCACCGTGCAAGGTTAAACTATCGCAACCTGGCTCACTAGAGCAAATCCGCATCTCTTCACGAACAAGCGACCAAGCGGAAACCAGCATATACGAGTCACGCAGCTGCCTGTAATCACAGAACATTGCGCTGACAATAATCAAACCACAAATGCTATGATAGGAAAGTCAGGAGGGAGAAGGCTTGTGCAGCAATACGGAATTTGATGACAGATCACAAACTTACAAGGAATTCGTGGTGTTTAATTACTCGAGAAAAAGTGAAGTAGGAAAGGAAGGAGAGAGAATTCCAAAAAGCGCGGGAATTCAAAGAGCCACTCCTATAAGATAGAGATGTAAGAAGATAAATTAGAAAATAGAAAGATATATGAGCAAGAATGTATGAACTTGTTCCAACTACACATCGATGCCTTGAGTATGCCGACATTCAACTCCTTGATGTGGATTGTCCCGGTGAGGCATCGTGTGCTCGCTTGTCCTTCAACTCCTTGGAGGCACATATAGGCTGCTGCATGGCGAAGGCGCTGTATCTTCAGGCGCAAACTTTATTAGCCGCAGAGCGCATGAGGTGCGGGATCTACAACGGTGAGGATATGCGCGCGTCGCGTTTGCGCACGCTCAACTAATATCGCCATTGCGCCTTCATGCAGCAGCCTTTAGCAGTCCTTCCTCGAATCAGTGTTCCAAGCTGGTGGTTTGAAGATTGCATCCCGCAACGTTCTACCTGAAAAAGAAGAAGGATTGAAAGCGACATAAGAAACCAAGAACGCGGAAGAACAACACGAATTTGGAAGAAAAAGGAATGAAAGATGCTCAGAAGAAGATGAAAACGAAAAGATTCTAACCTAATTAGCAGGAGCTGCTATCAGCGAACGGCTAAATTGGCTGCCTACTAATCGCCCCAGGAGCGCTGAACGCTTAGAAAGGTGGATTCCCGAGTTTCTGGCACTTCCGCGGAACGTGTCCCGGAAGTCCATGTCTCGGCTTTTTGTGACTTCACCGCGAGTGGACCGCCACACGCCCCGCTTCCCTGGCAGCTCCAATTTTAATGGTTAAGAGCGCACCCCGGAAGCTCTAGTCAAGCGGAGCCACTTGATCCGCTTGATCCATTTCATTCACCTCGCTTTTGATTGAGTGAACTAATCAATGCCAAGCGGAACAAGTGGATCAAGTGGTTCAAGGATCAAGTGATTTAAGCGGACATCCGCTTCGCTGCTAGTCAAATCAGTGAACTGACCAATAGCGCATTAGATGTCCACTTGATCCGTTCGATTCACTTCATCCACTCCGCTCTGGTCAGATAGTGAACTGACCAACGCGAAGCGGAACAAGCGGATCAAGTGGAAATCCGCTTCGCTAGTAGTCGATCAGAAACCAATAATGAAGCGTACGTCTTAATCACTTGATCCACTTCATGCACTTCGCTTTGTTCAAATCATTGAGTTGACCAATGCGAAGTGGAATAGTGGATCAAGTGGGCATCTGCTTCGCTAATTTTCGGTTCACTGATTTGATCAGCAGCGAAGTGGGTGAAGTGATCAAGAAGGAACAAGTGTACGTGCCTTATCTTTTACCAGTGCGTCACCTCTGCTTCGCAGAGGCTCGCACTGGCCCTATTTTCTGTATGCCTTACTCATTCCCGCATAATAATGACATTGAAACTCACCGCGCTATGTAGGCTATCACGAATAATTCGTAAACAACTACTCATTCGTAGAGGTTTTCCATGTGAGATCGGTATTTTCGCGTGGATAAAGTCTATCCCAGGAGAACAGATGCCAATTCGAATAGGTTTTTGGAACTTTTATGGCTTGGTAGTCGCCGTAAGGACAATAAACATAGTAGGCTACATCGCTGTGCAAAAATCTTCTCAAATGATCAGGTAGAATCTTAAAAAATTGACTGTTTACACAGCGAATGGTTTTTGGCGCTGTTTTCGTAAAATAGTAGACTTTTCATTACTTTTTTAGGCCAACGTCCATGGCTTGCACATTACCCTATTTTCAGGTGTATAAGCCGCACCCTTTTCACTCTAAAGGCGAACACGCCAAAAGACTGACTGTCATCATGGAGCGCGTTAAGTGAGAGCAGTATGCGATAAGGCGACCGCTTCGCGAGAGGTAGGCGCGGCGGCACGCCCGGGTCTGCTCGCGTCTAGAGCAAAAAGGGTGCGGCTTATACACCTGAAAATAGGGTAGCTTGTCAAATATGTCCTTAACTCTGCAAAAAGTAGTACTACGGACCCAATTTTGCGGGATAGAAGCCAGGTGGATTCGTTTGGCGCGCAATTTCTGAGGGATCCACTCGACGAATCTACTCGTGCTTTTGCATATTGGGCTTTTATGAAGGTAGCATGCGCTATGCAAAATTTGAGCTCAGGACGTTGGCTTTGAACTGCTCTACGAATTTCGTAACAGACACACTCACACACACACACAAAAACACGTAAACACCCTTAGCCCGTTATTATAAGTTATGATCTTTATGTGCATAATGTAAGCGATGTCAAGAAACTCGATTGATGAGTAATATTGTGTTTTTTTTCTCTTACCCTATTTTCAGGTGTATAAGCCGCACTTTTTCAAATTTTCGCCCGGGCTGCTCAGCCGCTTCATTGTGTTTCGAGAAGCGATCCTTATGCCGTACGACTCTTTCACTCAATACACACCACGGCGTAGGGTCTTTTGGTTGCGGGGTCCTTTGATGTATTCGGGCTGGTCGATTTAAGCTAGGACCACCCCGCGGTTGGGTGTATGTCAAGAGGCGCGATTTTTATTGCCAGCTGGACATCAAATAGCACATATTAATTGTTTTGCAACTTTCTAAAAGTATATGAAACTCAGAAGTAGATATATTAGATAGTTGCATGAGTTGTTCAATCTTGATACTCTAGAAAAAATTCAAAAGAGCCATTTTGAAGGTCAAAAACTCATGAAAATGCATTTCAGAACCAATTTGTAAATATTTCAGTCCGATTTATAGCAAAAACCATGAAACTCAGCTGATGGTGACCTCAGACAGAGAGTAAGGTAATGCACTTTATCCGGTAATTTTTGAAGACTCGCATAGTACTAAACTGGAGTTTTAAGTTGGTGACAGCTAGGAAAATCGCGCCTCTTGACCGTCTCCCCCCGCGGCTTATACACCTGAAAATAGGGTACTTGATTACTGCAGTCATGTATGTATGCTCTTTGATGTTGATGTTTGAGGTTCTTTGATGCTGATTTTCTTATCCACTCGATTCCTTTATCGCTGTGCCAATGTGAGTGCAGTGATGTTGAGCGGACAGGAAAAAAAATTTCTTTACTGCTAAGTATGCAGCAGGTAGACTTCGAGGTGGTACTTCTCCAGTGGCAACCTGCTGAAGTGCGTACTTCGACTCAGACCATGAAGGCGTCACGGCTCCAGGACCAGACCGTTTTTCCAACGGACCAGCTGAGAAATCAACTGGATACGATTTTTGCACCTGGAACTCGCGGACACAGCCACCGATGTCAGCCAAAAAGATCGTGGATGTCCGAAGCGAGGGACAGGGAGAATTTGAAACTTCTGTTCTGGGGCCCGCACGTCACGTGAAGCCGGGCCATCTAAGTAAGTAAGTATCTAAGTAAATGTGCTGCACGACTTTAAACTGCATCGCGCACGCTTCCCCTGCCAAGGGTGCGTAAGCCTCACCGCATAAACCATCGCGACTTGTGAGATAAACCGCCTTTACACTCATATGCCTTGGTAATGGGATGCAAATCAGCTTACCAGCATTTTTTCTGATATTTAGGTAAACATAGGTTGGTACCAGAATTAGCGTGAGAACTTCCATGAAGGGATCAAAGATCCTTTCCAACAGGCAGGGGAATACAAAAGCTCCGGCAAGTTCTCCAGAAGAAACACCTAACATCAAAACCTGAAAAGGTATGATTCTAATGTCAGAAGGAATGTACCACTTTGGTACCGATACTCCTAAATAGAGTTCTACTATATTGTTTTTGGTATCCTTTTCCATTTGCGACACAGGTTCGGTTTGATTACTGGCATTTACAACCTATGCGTAAGCTTGAAAGTACGATTATAAGTGAACTGGGACAAAAGCCCACATAATCCTTCACATCATAAGCTACTGGTTCTGCTACATCACGGGCACGATCAGCTGCAGTCGCGATTTTGTTGCCGAGAAAGAAAACACCATCATAATATGCTACGATCCGTCTCCGTAGCGTCTCAGCTGTCGTTTGAATTTGTTCTATGTAACGTTCCGCTATTTCAGACATCTAAAATGGCTCAAAAAAAGTGTGAAGTTCTCTTTCAGGGGAGACGGTCAAGAGGCGCGATTTCTTTGGCTGTCACCAACTTAAAACTCCATTTTAGTGCTATGCGAGTCTACAAAAATTACCAGATAAATTGCATTAGCTTACTGTCTGCCTGAGGTCACCACTTGCTGATTTTCATAGTTTTTGCTGTAAATCGGAATGAAATATATACGAATTTGTTCTGAAATGTATTTTCATGAGTTTCTGACCTTTAAAATTGCTCTTTTGAATTTTTTCTAAAGTATCAAGATTGAACAGCTTATGCAACTTTCTAATACATCTTCTTCCAAATTTCATATACTTTTAGAAAGTTGCAGAACACTTATTATGTGCCATTTGGTGTCCAGCTGGCAATAAAAATCGCGCCTCTTGACATACACCCCTCTTTCAGCATGAGATAAAAGATCGTTTTCGTCTCTTGGCCCTTCAGCTGCAGCAGTAGAAAGTGGAATATGGGTTCCGGCGCTATCCCAGTATCCGGGCCCCAAAATTTTTTTGACATGGATTTTGCTGAAACTTGCCCCAGGGGGGTTATTCGGTCCGCTGATGCTGAATATCACATTGGTTTTGTACCGTAGCGTCATTTTCTCGGGTTGCGGTAGGTACACGGTAAGGGATCCAAATTCCAGAATTCGCTGAAACTTGACCCAGGGGGATAATTCGGCCCGCTGACGCCGAATCTCACATTGGTTTTGTACCGTGGCGTCATTTTCTTGGGTTACGGTGGGTATACGGTACGGGGTGAAAATCTCAAAATTCGCGCTGTAACTTCGCACAGAGGGGTTATTCGACATGCTGATCGGAAGTTTTACGCTTTCTCCGCACGAAAACGTCTCCCTGCATGTTACGGTAGGTTTACATTAGGGGTCAAAATCATAAATCGGCAAATAAATCCTTCCCCTGTGCTTTTGATTTTGACCCCTTACCATGTACCTACCGTAACCCGAGAAAATGACGCTACGGTACAAAACCAATATGATATTTAGCATCGGCGGGCCGAATAACCCCTCTGGGCCGAGTTTCGGCAAAGTCCATGCGAAAGAAATTTTGGGGCCCGGATACTGGAATAGCGCCGCTATTGACACCCACCGCAGAGTAGACAGCACTGAAAGAAATGGGTAACCCACCAACTTGATGAGGAATGTCAGTAAATATGGTGCACAATATCTGCTAGTGAGGTTGGTCTAATGAGCTCCTCGCTAGAGATTGCTTCTGCTTTTTGTTCATTGTGGGCTATCCAAATCAATCTTATATATAAAGCTGAATGTCTGTTTGTATGTCTGTCTGTCTGTCTGTATGTGTGTACGTATGTTCCGAATAGAAAATTCCATTTTTGAACCGATCCGGACCAAGCTTGGCACACATACACTTCGGGCCCCGGCGGGTGTCATAGGCTACTTTTCGTATCGATCGATATCGATTTTATCGATTTTTTGCAAAATTTGAGCTACGGGGCTGGGAGTTGGCATAGGGGGGTAATTGAGCATGCTGATTGCGAATATAATAATGACAGGGCCGGGCGGAGCCGGGTAAGTCAACTAGTCACCAATATTTTTTCTAACAAGGGATGACCAGATCGCAGTGGCGAACCGAAATGACATGCATATCATTTATGCGTTCTGATGAGCTGATTCCAAATCTATCTTTCCTATCTGCTACGACCTCCTAGAAGAAGCTGTGGGTGTTTGAATATCCAAATTTAGCATACTTCAGTGCCACATCTTCAAGAACTACTTATTCAAAGACTCTTATTCATATGTTCGGTGTATGTATGCATTTCTTGTAGTCAGTATACTCAGAACCATGGCAATCGATCACTCCTAAGCTAGTTTCTGAAGCGCATTACGCATTAAAAGCTCAACAATAACATCTTTAAACGCCCTCAGCTTCTTCTAGAAAAGCTCGTAGCAAATAGGAAAGGTAGATTTGGAATAAGCTTATCAAGACGCATCTAATAATATGCATATCATTTCGGTTCGCCACTGCAGCCTGGTATCCTTCCCTTGTAAGATGCAGTATTAGCCTTTTCGTCTTCATCTGTTTGATGTTTAGATAGTGATGAATATCTGACAACCTTTACGGTTGTAGAGGAAGAGATCACATTGGTAAAGGTAGCGCTATAAATGAAAATTCAATTTTTTTATTCCTTGCATCACTTCCCTTTTTCATGAGCTTCTCACCCTATCAATCTTCCTTCTCAATTTGAAACTCATTGTTCATTTATCGCAAGTTCCCAAACTTTCTTCACTCTTTCCACTCTACCTTTATTCTTTCTCAAAGGCAGTGTCCCGGCCAAATCTCGCTCTTCGGTTTTTTCCTTTTTGGAGCCTTCTCGCCAGCCAAACCCGTATTTGGGCTTTGCAGCGCACTAAAATGACGAAAATGAGCTTCGAAGCTCTTTATATCCACACTTGCTGCAAAATACATGTAATTGATTCAACTGATTGATTCAACTGGCTTGGCACCATTAGGGCGGGGTTTTGTGATCTAATTGAGGCCTCTCGCGCCCGCGACGCACCTGCGTCTCTCTCGCGCGAGTGCTCTCTGATCATTACCTAGCCTTAATTAGGTCATGGATCCCCGCCTTTGCCGATGCCAAGCCAGTTGAATCAAATGGTAATCGGCGGGATCAGGAACAAAGGGGTGGGGTCCATAAGATTAGATAGATTAGATATATTAGCTACTAACTGGCTTACCCGACTCCGCCGTATGTTCCGAATAGAAAATTCCATTTCTCAACCGATCCGGACCAAACTTGGCACACACACATTTCGGGCCCCGGCGGGTGTCACAGTCCACTTTTTATTATCAATTTTTTGCAAAGTTTGAGCTAGGGGGCTGGAATTTGGCAGAGGGGCTGGGAGTTGGCACCCCCCTGTGCCAACTCCCAGCCCCGTAGCTCAAATTTTGCAAAAAATCGATAAAATCGATATCGATCGATGGCGAAAAGTAGCCTATGACACCCGCCGGGGCCCGAAGTGTATGTGTGCTAAGTTTGGTCCCGATCGGTTCAGAAATAGAATTTTCTATTCGGAACATACGTACATACAGACATACATACAGACATACAGACATACAAACAGACATTCAACTTTATATATAAGATATGGAAATTAGGCTTCTAACAAGGGAAGTTCACTAGTTCGAAGTGGCGATTTAAAAGATGATGTATATCTACGTATAGAGCTCAAAACGCTGATCTCAAATATACGTTCTATAACTGCGAAGCGTTTTCTTATGAGAACTTACGAGATTTTATGTATTTATTATGGAAGCGTGATCTAGAAGGAAAATGAGGAACTGCGGAATACAACATGGTTAACAGTCGGAAACGTACATACATATCAGAAATCAGACCTACAACACTTACCAGGTGCTTTGCTTGAGTCTCCATACTTTTGTGTAGAAACTACTGTGATTTTAGGATTCAAAATACACAAAAATTTGGCATAAGAAAATCTAGTAACTTTTTTCATAAGAGCGCATCGCAGATATGGAAAGTATATCTGACATCAGCGTTCAAAGCTCCATCCATGGATATACATCACCTTCCGATTCGCCACTTCGACCAAGCGAACTTTCCTTGTAAGACGCGCTTTTTTGCTCCCGATTTCACTGATAGATTAGTTAAAGAGCCTGCCACTGCGAAGCTTCAAAATTCCGGCACCCATCATTTTGTCGGGACGACATCCTTCAATCAAGTAGTGAGTAAGCGGAACCACATACTTACATTAGTAGTAGAAATAAGTCTTTGCCTTATTTTGGTGAAAGTTGCACCACTTTTTATGTGTTATGAACAAAGCTGAGCAAGAAATCAGGCACAAGTCTTTCAATAACGACCCCTTTTCCTAAAATTCCCCAAACGACCCCCTCTTCCTCCTTTTCAGCACCGGAATCTCAGAATCTGACATGATAAAGATCGGTTTACAATTACACAAACAACCCATGTATTGTCGTTTCGCGCACTTCTTGAAAGAAATGCACGAAACCATTGATACCAGGTGAAACAGCGTAGCCGAAAACAGTATACGCAGCATAAAAATGAAATTCGGTGTCAGTCTTGGAGAAGCATTGTGCGCCGAACGCTTTCTTGGTCGGTTCATAATTGTACAAACACCCTCAATCACAGGTCTTTGTTCGCTTAACGATGCAGCCTACGGGGTTTGAACTTTCATGTAAGGCTGATCGCAAAGTCTGAGATGACTACTACGCGCCGAATGTAATAGTGTTTCCTCGAACCATGTCGGCTCCAAAAATGCCGTTCTTATCAATTTTCAAACCTTTATCCAGTTCTCACGGATAAAGAATAAGGAATCAATAAAGTGTACGTGTTGCTCAGGGCTCAAAAAATATTGATGTGATCGTCCCAGTTGCCAACTCAGTCCTTAACTCACCATGGGACTGGCACACTTTTGAGCCTCAAAACTCGACTTCTCCCGTCCGCAAAGCTCTGTGATGTTGTAAGCACATGGCGCATTTGATTTTGTGTACGACGTACAAGATTTTATGTTTTGTTTGGAAAATTCAACCGTAGAGCACTTTGTTCCCACCACGTACTCGGCATTCAATGAAGAGTATACGCAAATCAACGCAAACATGCCTTCTCTTGCTCTTTAGCTCTGGAGCTTTGAGGATGGCATTGCAGAGAATTCGGAAACATTATTAATGATATATAGTCATACAAACGATGCATTTACTTCATTACAAAGTTTTGCGAACGGCAGAAGTCGAGTTTTTTAGGCTCAAAAGTGTGCCAACCCTAGGTGAAATAGGGACTGGGTTGGCAACTGGGACGATCACATCAATATTTTTTGAGCGCTGAGCAGCACATTTATTGATTCCTTATTCCATGAGAGCCATGAGAGCTGAATAAAGCTTTGAAATCTCGATAAAGCAGGCATTTCTGGAGCCGTCGTGGTTCGAGAAAACACTATTACGTTCGGCGCGTAGTAGTCATTTCACTGTCAGATTTTGAGATCTTATCCTTACACCAAAGTTCAAACCCCATAGGTTGCATCGTCAAGCGGAAAAAGAGCTGTGATTGAGGTGTTCGTATAATTATGAACCGGCCATGAAAGCGTTCGGCGCACAATTCTTCCCCAAGATTGACACCGAAATTCATCTTTATGCTGCGTATACTCTTTTCGGCTACGCTGTTTCACCTGATACCAATGGTTTCTTGTATTTCCTTCAAGAAGTGCGAGAAACGACAATATAGGGGGTGTTCGTACAATTATGAACCGATCTTGAGAAGACATCATTCTGTATCTTGAATTTGACGTGTGTCTTTACAAGCACAGTAATTTGAGCCGGATTTTTATCTGAATGGGCTATCGAAAGAGCCATAATTTCCCTGTAGCAAGGACAGGCTATGAGCTCAATACTCTACCAGGAATAGAGCGATTTCTGAATATTGAAGACAAGTTAAGGCTAAAAAAGCTCAGGTAGTCTGCTCCTTGAAGAGTTGTGCCTGTCCCCATTAATTGTAACTTTGAAGAAGCTTTTTCATCCATTTTCAAGTGATTCGCTAGCATAAACCTTGAATTCTACATTGGGTGTTTGAGCCTATCTTGACTTGCTTCGGCTTTGTCGTGATCGCAGAGTTGAAGCATTCAAGGTGAAAAGCGCGGTGGCTGAAATTTTTGCTCCACTTTTCAATCCAAACTTGAAAATGAAGTCTGATCTGTAGCATAGACTGGGAAACATTACTTTGTTATGAGTATGAAAAAGCTGACTTTTTTTCAGTTTTGGAACTAACAAGGGAATGGTCAGAAGTCGAAGTGGCCAATCCAAGCAAACTGTCTACTTTCCATGCAGCATTCAACGCTGATTTCGAATCTGTATTCCATATCTGCTTAGCACCTTTGCGGACGAAGTTATGAGTAGTTTTATTGCTAAAAAATCGTGAAAAAAATTGCGGAGTTGAGCACATTGTTGCATTTTCAGCTCACCTTGAGGCTACAAGAATACAAAGTAACCTAGCTGCATATTTTGGTACAACATTGAGCCGAACATGGCTCCGTACTGCCAATTTTGCGTTTTGCATGCACGATTTTTTAGCAAAATAACGGCCCTTTAACGGCTTATAACTTCGCCTGCAGTCGTTAACAGGGTCAAGCAGGGGTGTGGCATACGATCGCTGGTTACGACCCCCCCCCCCCTGATTGCTGTCTTAATAAGACCCCCCTGAACTATATACCTAAGATAGCATTACCAGAGTTGAGAAGGAGGTCAGGCACAAGTCTTTCGAAAACAACCCCCCCCCCTCCTCCCATGAAAGCCCTCAAACAACCCCTTCTTCCTCCTCTTAACCTCTGGACCTCAAAGTGTGACATTCTGGAGGACACCAGTTTTTTCTAGAGAGTTTTCAGATTTCTGAGAGCTGTACGCCCGATTTTCTGTGACTGCACTTTACAACCACACGTAATTTGACGGCTGATTTTAACCTGAATGGGCATATTGAAAGGGCCATAATTTTCTTATGCGTGAGGCGTTCGGCTCCAAATTTCCAGTGTAGCAAGAAGAAGCTATGTGCTCAATACTCATACCAGCAATGGAGCGCTTTCTGGATTTTGAAGGCAAGTTAATGGGGTGCTGCACACCCCCTTGAAAGCTGCAGCAGCCGCAGCTTTCAAGGGGGTGTGCCGCACCCCATTAACTATATCAAAAACATTTTTAGCGGACAATATTTATATGAATCGATAGCCTAAACCTTGTAGATTCTATAGGACTGTTTGGGGCCTGATTCGTCTTCTTAGCTCTGAGTAATATTTGGTGAAAGCACAGAAAAAGCGAAAAATGGGAAAAACAAGATTTTGGTCGGCTTCTAATTCCACAGTTTGGAGGTCTTCTGAAGCGAGATTCCTGAGGTGGACAAAGAAGGAGTAGTGCTTTGTCTTGAGTGCAAAAACGGATAGCTAATTCACCTCTGAAACAAAGTTAATCATGTTGGAACATGACCATTTCACTCAGGTAGCCTAGTATCTTGAATCTTCAGAATTCGCTCACACTTTGTCTACAGGGCTTATTTGACATGCTAATTATGGATAGGATACGAATATCATGTTATCATTATTATCAGATTACCCAACTACGACCTCCCCTTTTGACTCCTCAATACGACCCCCAGGTGTGGCGTGCCGCACCCCACGCTTGACCCTGGTCGTTAAGCAGATACGGAATACAGATTCAAAGTCAGCGTTTTATACTGCAT